CTGTGCGTGCTGCAGCCTGCATCTCGTGATCGTACATTTGGAGTGTCGCTCTTTGAGTCTGGGTTTCCTTCCGTCATGACATGATTGACACATTGAATGTCTCTTCGCTTAAGTTGTGTCTCTGAAGCTCTTCACTTGAAACAGGCCTTCAATGTGGCATCTGGCTCGGCAGGCCACAAGCAACTCCACAGCCACAGGTGCATGGAAGGCACTTTCAACAGTCAAAGACCCCAATGAACTGAACTAGATATCCATTCTGCTCCTCCATGCCAACCTGGCAGCTGTTTCCCCGACTACCTGTACGCATGCATAGGCGTAGTGCCATGTCACGCCTTCCAAGGAGGGAAAGGAAGGCTCTTTGAGCACCCACCCTATCAAGGTTGGTTGCATCAAAGACCACAATGTTGGGGCTCAACCCCTCTTCCATTCTCTCCAAGGAGTCCACATGGATGTCGCGCATCAGACGCACGCCGAGCAGTTCACTCTAGATATAGAGCCAGTCATTCAGCCTTAAGAGTCTAAGAAGGAACGACGTTAAGGAGCTTGTCAGGCTGGGCGAGCGTCCAGTCTTTGCGCGAATGATGGCGCCGTTCTCTGGCCAAGAGGCCAACACGCGTAGCATTAAAAGATGAAGCCACGGGTGCAGTTTGCCCAAGCAAAAGACTCATGTGTGGAACAAAGGAGAAACAACGGGTACGTCAAAACAAACCGCTGAAGTCAACAAGGCAGCCTGCAAGCACATCACCATGCTTGCGAGTGCGCGCACACTCGTCTCGTGGCCCGCGTGCAGGCGTCTGAGAACCTCAAGTCTCAAGTGCTTTTGTCGGTCTCGTTGCTCCTTTTGGAGAGGCTGTCCTGAAGCGGTCAACGAATTCGGCGGTCCAGAATGCCAAGAGACGCAGTCCTCGGTGGACATTACCGACGAGGGGACGTCTGCGTACTTGAGATCGATGTAGAGCTCCTCACAATCTCGCATTGAAGATTTGCCCCTCTTCCCATAGTCCCACAAAGTCGGTTGCGTTTTTGCACTTCATGCACTTCATGTTCGGCGTGATGTCAACCGTCTCCTCGTGGTCTGCTGCAACGAGGTCCTTGCACAATCCTTCAGCAAGTGCTGCAAGACCTCGCGCCAATTGGTGAACAAGTAAGGAAAGACGGTTTAGAGGGAACTTGAGAGGGCCATGCGCAGATTACTTTCGAAAGGTCAAGTGCGGAATTTGGTGGCAGGCACAAAGGAAGGAAGGAAGGAAGGAAGGCAGGCAGGCAGGCAGGCAGGCAGGCAGGCAGGCCCTCCCCTCCCCCCGGAGTAGGAGGGGGAGAGGAGGCGGGGGAGGGGGGGAGGAGGGAGAGGGGGAGATGAGGGGAGGGGAGGGGGAGGGGGAGGGGGAGGGGGAGGGGAGGGGAGGGAAGGGAAGGGGAGGGAAGGGGAAGGGAAGAAAGAAAGAAATAAAGAAAGAAGACAAATGAAGAAAGAAAGAAGCCAAGAGTGACAAACAGCAAGAAGAGAAAGACAAAGAAGAAAACAAAGCAATAAAGAAAAATAGTTCTTGTAGTTTTGAAACTTCCGCCGACCGGCAGAGTGGCTCTACTGGTATGTGCATTGATGGCTCTGCTAAGAACCCTGAGAAGAAAAGAAACTCCCCGGAGTCAGGGAGGGCTCAACTATCGGGATGGTTTGGTGGCCATTCATTCTCGCACAGCACTTTCGCAAGATCCATAAACAAACAGATCGCGAGCTAGAGAGAGAGAGAGAGAGAGATAAAGAGAGAGAGAGAGACAAATAGAGAGAGAGAGAGAGCTAGATATGTCAATACACACATAGCCAAATAGATAGCTAGGAACAAGACAAAGAGAAAGAAGGAAGGAAGGAAGGAAGAAACCTCTGATTTGCAATGTGCCAGACAAACAAGCGCTAAACTGCCATGACTTCACTCTGTAGAGCTCAATCAGTGTTGCAAAAAAATGCATCCATGCTCCACTTCTCTAGCAGAACTTTGACCCGCCTTGAAACTCCAGACCGGGAGGAGGCTCTGTGACCTCTCCAGGCCTTGGGGTGATCTTTGGAGTGGCATCCATTTCCTCGCTTTCTGTCCTTGCCTGATCTCTACCCCTGTCACCTCCTGGAAACAGCATCGTACATACCCGACGTTGTCGGCAGAGACCCTTAGGCTGGAGTGACATGTTGTTGGAACAGGTGCTGTTCAGTTTATATAGATGGCATGCCTTCTTGGCCATTGGTTGGGGTGCTTGATCAATTAGTTTGCTGAAGCTCGTTCTCGACAGCTAGTCGCTCTGAGTATGGTTTTGATTGATTTGGGTGTGCTGTGCATGGATTTTTGTGATTGGGACACTTTGATGGTGCGGTTGAGTTTCTTCTGAGTGATGCGCTCTTTGTTTTACTGTCTTTTCTGCACGAATTCCGAAAGGTTGCGCTACAGACTTTCATGAAGCGAGTTTGTGAGTTGCTTTCTGCCGAAGGGTGTGCTTTGATGGTGTGTGGTGGATATGTTGCCTTTCTAAAAAGCCCAAGTCTAACTATCATGTCATGGTCATATCAATATGGACCAGGTATTGGCTTCACGTCAGGCCATTTTGTGGACCATCGTGATTATGTCTTCTGCCCATTGTGCCTGCTTTCTTCAGGGCTGGCCCTCGCGATTGGATTTGTCATTCAATTACAGGAACAAAGGGCGCAAAAACAATGCACTTTGAATCACTCGTGCCATGCATCTGCAGAAGCTCAGTGCACGACAGGCATGAATCGCTAGCTGGCCACATTGGGGGCAGCGTCAGCCTTACCAAGTTGTTGTGCTGCACCAATTGGAAGTGCAGAACCGTGGAACATGGTGACACCAGCTTATTTGCATACGATATGAGGCAGCTGCCCTGGCATGCCACTCAGTGGCTCAATACCAGGTGGAAGAGACAGTGCCGCACTCGGCAGCATGAACCTTATAGTGCACAACTAAGTCATGTCTGCAAAGCTAACTTCCCATTGTATAAAATCAGTCTAGGGGGCGACTGCCTAAACCGGATGTGCTAAAAGCTGGGGCTGTCGCATTCCGTCATCAGTTGCCTTAGGAATTTGGCATGCAGAATGCTTTGGCTACATTGTGTAAGCCAGTCAAACAGCTTTGGTCACGGCCAAAAGGTCTGGCCCAATCATTGGAGTGCCGAGATCAAGGCCTGCCGCATTTCCAGTCATAGCTTGCTCACGGAATTCTCCAACACTGCTCCCTTGTGCACACCCTGCCTGGAAAGAGCAGACCAGGAGGCGAAAGAGGACCCACGTAGCAACTTTGACTATGAGCCTTCCGAGACTCCCAAGGTCTTTTGTCACAAAAGAGAGTGCACTCCAGCCTCGAAGCCACCCATGTCGCCCATGGCAATGCCTCCAAACCAGCCACTCAATCCATCTCAATCTTCATTTGCTAGCCTTGTGACATGCCGCAAGGCCAACCCAAGCATGCGTGTTCAAGTACGCTCATGCAGGCTCCACTGCAAAGCGGTGCATGAACCATGCATCTCTCAACAAGCAATCAAAACAGAAAGGAATGAAGGAAGAACAAGCAGCGACGCAATGACTGCTCAATGCCCCCCTCCTGATGCAGAAAGCTGGGGCCTGGCAAGTCAGACTATCTCAGCGAAGTGCGCACGCAGAGCTGCTTGCTAAGTGGTCAAACTCTTGAGGGGCCCACGATCGGACATCCATCGAGAATGCCTGGCACTGTTCTCATGCGACTGGTGTGAGGGTAAGGTGTCGGCTCCGATGTGCCCAAGGGCCACACCTTCTTGCGGCTTCCAGCCACTTGGCTGGAGCGGCACTTGCTGAGATAGACGTACCTCGAGACTCTCGTCTTGCTGTAGACTGTTGACCACTCTTCAAAAATGGTTCCAAAGCTGCTACATGCTTGGTAACCGAAGATGTGCAAGTACTCTTTTGACTCTTGACCCATCACAGATTTACCTCCCTTGCATGCACACCGACAATCTCGGATAGCAATGCATCTCGAAGACTGCGGCAAACAGCACATAGTGTGAGGGCACGTCTGTCCCAACTCGTTCTGTCGCGTGGCATGCACCAGATTGTGCCTCTCTGCTAGGGAGTGCGCGTACCTGATCTCTCTCTACCTCTTTCTCTTACAAGCACACTTGCCCCTAATACAAAGCCGCACACTCGGAGCAAACAAGCAAACACAACAAGCCGGGGTATGGCTTGCTTCGGGGCCATGATTGCTTCGAGCTCCGCACGCACACGACGCACACGGACAAAGGGCGCACTTGCGCTGATGGGCATCGAAGCTCACCGACAAACACACCTGCAAACTCAGCTCCGCGTCTGGAGCTGTCCGAGCACAGTTCGGACAGGCGAGGCCTCTTTTTCGGAGTCACGGAGGAACTTATCGATTTCTCGCTGCACCATGGCTAGCTCCTCGCAGAAACCAAAGGTTTGGCATCGGCGAGGCCGGTCGCCTCGAGCTTCTGTGCGTTCCAATGGCAAGGAAACAAACATGCTAAATATGCTAAACATGTGCCAACAGCCAAGCGCAAGTCCTGGGGCAGCTCACCCCCGGAGCTCTTTCGCCCAAAGAGATTCTTGCACTTCTGCACCTCGACCCTCGCCTGGGCTTGCGTGAGCACGTCCCATTTCTCGGCATACCTGCAGGTGCCTTCCGGCCACCAATCTCTGGCGATGGCCCAAGCTTCTGCAAGGCCTCCCGCGCCTGGCACATCGGCAGTGGATTGCAACGGAGACTGCTGAAGCGGTGAAGCGGTGAAGCTCCAAGTCTTGACCATTCGCATGCCTTCGCGGAAGATGAATATCTCACGAAGACGGTGCCTTGCTGAATGGCAGGAAACTCAGCGTGCTACTACCATCCTGCCTCGAAAAGAGCCACTCGCAGGGTCAACATGGAGCTCTACCTTTGGCAAGCGTAAGGTTGCAAGGACACTCTGCCGTGCAAGATCTGAGAAAAGGCGCTCGTGTTGGCCCAATTTGATCAAATTTTGCCAAATGGCAGAAGGGGCAGCAGCAGAGCGGGAATTAAATAAATCACCATGGAACCGCCGATCGGTAAAGCGGCAAGCGCAAGCGCCCAAAGGGAGGCTCATTCCACCGGGCTTCAAGTGTTGGGAGAAGATGTTTCTTTCTGACGGCTGCTCGAAAGTGCACGCAAGCCTTGTGAAGCCATCGGTTCCCTCCTGTGCTGTCCCGCCTCAGCTCCTGCCCCCTGGTTCAGAAGGTAGCTCTCAACGTCTTCCTGGCAAGTTGACAAAGTGTGAAATAATCAAATTGCGAAAATACGCACACGGACATGGCACGAGAACCAGCGCCTTCCGGAAGTCTAGCGCCAGATTCTTGATGACCAGTGTCGACACCTGCCATCTGATAAGTATTCTCCCGCACCCAAGGTGAACTCTGATTTGGTGCTCCAACGGCCTCCTCGCCGTTGGCACAGCGACTTGGGGCTGACTTGCCTGAATGTCTGAGTCATCCAACCCAACAACCTTCAATTATACAGGAGTCAAGCGTTTGTTCAACTGAACATGAAGATCATGCATCACAGACTCCCCTTTGCTTCTACGTCAAAGCCCTCAACCCGCAATTTGGCCCACTAGGAATCTGACTCTTGCCCTCTGATGGCAGGAGGGCAGGCGAAGCCGGTGCAGTGGCACAGCTCCTCTCAATGCAGGAACTGCCACTGATACTCAATTCGGTCCCAAAACCCCTTCCTCCGTCCGGGTTGTTTGCGACGCTGCGATGGCCGGCCTTGTCGCAATGCTCGAGTTTCGGGCTCGGCTAGAAGCTGGCAAGGCTTGCTGTTCCAGGTCCCCACATGCAAGTTGTGGAGAGCAGCTCAACGCTCTTTCCAGAAGCTCGGGCTCCTGACCCCAGGAAGACTAAAACAGGTCAACCACTTGCACGAGCTATTGTGCCCCAATTCTGCAACTGGTCCGCTGACCTGGCTCTCTGTGCCTTCCTGACCACGATCTGGAGGCACCGCTCCACCCCTAGGCAAGCTGTTGTAATGTCAAGTCTTCAATGCTGCAAACGTAACGCTAGGATAGCAACATTGTTACTATCCAACAAAATCGAGCAAGGTGGATGTTTGACGGCGCGGAGTGCCGTGTCGTGTCTGGCTTTCTCAGGCAGCGGCGGCCTGCCCGAGCGTCCCTTGGCCGCTGGATGTAGCCCAGGCCTGGAAAGTCACTTGCTGCTTCGCAGCGCAGCTGTGCCACACACAAGGCTTGTACCACATTCTTTGCCTTCCCAAGAATAAGGCAGGAGCTGTGCGGAACATAGATACCCTTCATCTGCTGAGATGTACCTGATCTGAAGAAGACATTGAACAAACGGGAGAGATGGCATTAATAACGCAGGGCCTTTGCGCAGATGGATTGAACTCGGGCGCTGAGGGGTTGAACCTAAGCTTTGGTTGTTGCATGCGCAAACACGGAATACTCACAGGCACGGCTTCCCAGCAGCAGCAGCAGCAGCAGCAGCAGCAGCAGCAGCAAGGCCAGCAAGGGCAACTACCTCTGAGCCACGCACTCAAAAAAGGGCTCTTGCTCAATCGCTTGCGTCAAAGCCACCATGATTTCGCAGGAAGAGTAGGTTCACCTGCAGACTGCGGCAAAAAAACTCAAGATTCGTAGGTTGTACTTGTGCTCACTCTGCCAACATGTAAAACGCAGTGCTCTCTGGTGTGACACATTGTGGTACCGAGCAATGCCGTGCTTGATGATGAGCCATGCAACACAACAATGTGACTGCGTGGTCCTAATCCTGCAGCTTGTGAATGTACCGTTCCCACACAAACCCACACCCTCCGCCCCGCCTGTAGCTTGTTCTCGGCCGTTCAAGTGCGCTGAAGCCAGTTGTAGCGGGTTAACAATGATACACGTGGCAGGATGTAAATCACTCGCACGGTTGCAAACAATCCTCTTGGCTGACGACGAAACCATCTGGGGCACAATATAACATGCGTTGTCACAATCCCGTCTCCATGTTTGGCCCTCACTTTTTCCATGAGGATGGATGTTGCCGCCGCATGCCCCATCTCACTTGCGCTCAGTAAAGAGCGCGGGCCAAGGCTGCGGATTCGCTTTCTCCAGCGTCACCTTGGTAGAATGGGCAGTCACTGCATCTGAGGAATCAAGCAATAAGGCTGCAGCTACCACGCAGCCCTTGCTGAGGGTCCATGTGCAACCTGCCCAACCAAAAAAACATATTGAGCAACATACCAGGACTGCTGGCTAGCCTTCCGGACAGCAGGGACTAGCAAGAGCTCCATCCACCAAGGTCTTGCCACTGTGCAGGACCTTGCGCGGCGCAGCTTGCATCTCCGACAGGCAAAGCGCAAAAAGGCCTTCAGGGATTTCGGCTGAAATTGCACCTGGCAATTTAGCGCGATTGATCACGGTTGCTTCTCTTCCCGTCTTTCTCTGCCATTGGAGCGCCTTCACATCTGCTTTTGCAGTGTTGTCAGGCACATTCACAGAGACCTCCACTTCTTCGGTGTCCTGCCACGGTCCAGCCACATCGTGCTGAATGCATCAACTGGCTCCTGTCGCCACTTGTACTGGTCGGTTGAGCCACCTTCCTGCGGCAGCCTTATGACAAACGAAATCATCGGTGGGCATATGTGCAGCAAGTCAAGACTTCCTGACCTCATTTGCACAAGTGCTCACTTGCCTCTATTCTGGTATCCTTAATGCTAAGTACAAGGCGGTCGCCCAGGAGGCGGTGCGAAGGGCGGCGCCGCGCCAGGTGGTCTGGGCATGTTCGGCATGTTCGGCATGGGCATGTTGGGCATATTTCCAGCTGCGGCCATTACCTGCAGCGGCAAATCAAAGGCAATGGGAGATCGCGGTGCACGGCCTTTGCAGCAGCAGCTAGAGCATTGCCACCTATGGGTGGCATGAAGTCAAGAGGATACTTCAAATGCAGTCCACACGAGTCTGCACGATTGCATCCCAACAAGACTATGCATGCGCGAACCAATGCAACTTGCAAGGGCGAATGCAACCTTTTCCAAGGCTTTCCGTGCCTATCTTGTCCGGCGGCTCGGGGAACTTCTCCCAAATCTTGTCGCCGTATCTAACGACCAACTGCATAGCCTTGCGGAGATGGTCCGTATATGCATATATATATATATATATATATATGTATGTATTCACAACGGTCCGCGACAGGGTCTTAAAGGCTCATGTTCAAAGAACGAATATATATATATAATATATATATATATATATAATATATATATATATATATAATATATATATATATATATATTTCTTCTGCTTAGTGCCCCAACCTTAGCCTGCGCTTGCGCTGAGCCTGGCCTCGCTGATGATGCCCTGCGGGTCATGATTCGGCTCCATCGAGTAGGCCTGCAGCGCCAGGTCTGGCCCAAAAAAAGCTTGCATTTGAGTGGCAATTCCTGTCTCTGCATGTGAGTTGCTTTGGGAGCTATCGCTGATCTGCTATGTTCAAGCTTCTCGTATGTCTCGTTGTTTTTTGAATCATCGCCCTCGCTAACTTCAGGTCCCTTTCAGAAAGGGCGTGCAAGGGCGGATCCCAACTGCACGCGCGATCGGCTTCCCAACTCTGCGCTCCTCGTGCTTCACTGCCTCTATCTCCTGCGAAAGTTCCCGCTCCGCCGCAAGGACCTAGTTGGACATGAGAGGCCCAAATGAGTCGCATCCCGAGCCTTGAAATATGATGTGCACCTATGGTTTTGCTAAAGATTTGCCGACTCCTGTCATGTACTTGCCAAGTGTCCCTGAACTCGCTGCAAAGCAGGCAAAAATGCTACAACAGTCAAAAGCTGGCTGCGGGCGGAGCAACCAGCAAGACACAAAGGCTCTGCATTCTAGCATCCCCAAGAAGGCTCCAAAAAGAAAACTCCCCAGGTCCTGCCGTGCACAATGGCAGAAAATATCTGAAGCAAGCCAAGTCAAATGGCATGTTGCTCCTTGCAAACTGCGAACAGCAAATGCTGGTTGAATGTGGATTAGACTGAGGCCACGGCCGAGTTCCAAAACTTTGAAGTGATGATCCCCTTGGAAAAGAGCTTCCAATAGCCACGGGCCTTAAACGAGCGAAAGCCAGGCTACACTCGTGGCGTCTGGGATGTGGCATGAGAGTTGCGCGAGGCAAAGGTCCGGACATCTGCATCGATCTTCTGCAGCAACGACATAGCTCCAATTGCTCGCTGCATGAGTCTATACCTGCCATCTGCAAAGCAGCATGTGCAACAGCCTAATCTGATTCAAGGATCTCTCAGCCGGCTTTCTTCCGGATCTGGCAGAAACAATGATGCCTGCAGGTTTGTTTAGCTTGCTGTTGAAGGTGTGTGAGTTGGAAGATCCCAGTGCAAAGAAACAGAGCCTCAAGCCTAGCTTCGTATAATTTAAAAATAAAAAGACTCATCCGGCTAGGCACTTGAGCATGTCCTTCGCATGGGCAGGAAGCTGACAAAGCCAGTCATCTCCCACATGTTCCTGGCAACTGAGAGGCAGTGATTCAGCAGTGGGGAGAGATCGGCGCAACTCTTGCATTGCCGGCTTAGGATTGGAGGACCATGATTTCATGATCAAGCAACATGATGTTTGCCGCCCGTAGCAACAGTCCTTCCCAAACTCACCGAGCAGCTTGTCTTTCAGCTGCAAGTATGCCTACAGCGATTGGCGTGATTGTCAGCCCGAGAAGGTGAGGCCATCCTGCCTGAATTTTGTCCTCAGGCAAAGGTTTTCTTGGATAGGTTGGCGAGACCTTGGCAGAGAATTCATATGAGGAACATAGCAGCGTCTGCAAAGCTATCAAGGATCCGGCGCCCAATTCCTCTAGCGGATCAGGTTGCCTGGAGAAGGCGTGCGTGAGTCTCCTTGTTAAAGTATGGATGCTCTATGCGAACTGCAGACCCTTGAACTGGGAAACTCAACCAAGGCTTCAAGCAATCCAAGCGAACTCTTATTCACCCGTGTTTGGGACTTGACACTGTCAATGTGCTTGGATCTGGTGAGATAAACGCGGACTCATGCGGAATCTACATGCAAGTCAAATATGGCATTTGTATGGTATTTCTGCCAGGGCAAAGAGAGAAGTCTCATCATTCCCCTTAACTACATGCCAGTGTGCCATTTAATCATGATTCGCCATTGCCAAAAAGCTATTAACAAGCACGCAATGCTTCTGCCAGCAGGTGCTCGTGCTTGCCTTGATCACCAATCCGAAATACACACAAAAAGCATCCATTAAATAAGATTTGTTCGATCCCTCAAAAACGTAGCTCGACCATTCACCGAGTGCGGCAATAGGCCTTGTAGCCAGCCAAAAGCTGACGGCCGAAGAGAGGACCAAACTGACCGCAACGACGACGCCCACGACTAACCTCAAAGCGCCACAAATTGGACCAGGCAGCAGCCCTACCTGTTCAATCCAATGTCATTTATGCAGTGCCAAGGAGTAAGCAACCAGAACGCCATGGCCAGGTGTGCCTGCAGATCAGTTCACAGTGTCCCTCAAAGCGATGCAATGTCACGCAAACCTCGCGCCTCCTCCTGCCTTCAATCAGACCGACTCATTGCTTTGCAAGGCTGTTGACACGTCAGAGATTGCAGTTGACTGGACTGCAGGCTTGTGGTGGGTTGCCATGGGGCGCAACCAATAGTTTCTGGGAGGTTGCAGAAGCCGGACTAAAATAGAACCTGTCTGACAAACATGCCAACACGGTGATAGTTTTGCAGCTCTCGAGACCTCAGGATAGTATTGCGACAGTGTCTCTGGGCTTGAAGCAGTGAAGCACAACGCACAGCAAATGCCTTGAAAGCTCATCGTGCAATGCTGCAGTTGATAAACTCTTGGGCGACCCCGTTGCCATCCAACTTGGACCAGCTTGTGTGACTCTTGGTGGAACTGTGACATGCTCGCTGAAAAGCCAACAACTGACACGGCGAGTACTCATGCTGAAGCTGGCACGAGAAATTCATGCCTTCAACGGCGTAGGTGCAGCAAAAGATTCAACTCCAACTTTGGCTGTGAGGGGGGGATGACAGTGACAAGACCTTAGCCGTGGGCTGAGGCTGCAAAAAAATCCTGAGTTGTGGTGCTTTCTCCCTTTAAATTTGAATCGGTAATATATGGGCCGCTTCCGCGAAACAATCCGCAAAGCTTCCGCGGAGTGAAGGGTACCTTCCGCGAGCATGCTTTATATAAGCATATGATAAGTGCTTCCGCGCAAATCAAATGTCAATTCTATCATACTTCCAACTTGCAACATGTCAATCGTTGCATTACATATTCTAAGTATGGCCTGGCTTGCGGTAATTATGCTTCTCTCCGCCATTAATGACCTCAACATTGTTGACCATGTAAAGTAAGGATATCCGATACGGAAACGGCTCTTGCTGCGTGCGCGTGTATGTGCGTCCGCGCGTGCGCGCGAATGCGTTTGCGTTTGCGTTTGCGTTTGCGTTTGCGTTTGCGTTTGCGTTTGCGTTTGCGTTTGAGTGTGAGTGTGCGTGTGCGTGTGCGTGTGCGTGTGCGTGTGCGTGTGCGTGTGCGTGTGCGTGTGCGTGTGCGTGTGCGTGTGCGTGTGCGTGTGCGTGTGCGTGCGTGCGCGTGCGTGCGCGTGCGTGCGTGCGTGCGTGCGCGTGCGCGTGCGTGCGCGTGCGCGCGCGTGCGCGTGCGCGTGCGCGTGCGCGCGTGTGCGTGTGCGTGTGCGTGTGCGTGTGCGTGTGCGTGTGCGTGTGCGTGTGCGTGTGCGTGTGCGTGTGCGTGTGCGTGTGTGTGTGTGTGTGTGTGTGTGTGTGTGTGTGTGTGTGTGTGTGTGTGTGTGTGGGTGTGTGCGCGCGCGCGGGGCGCGGGCGCGGCGCGGCGCGGGCGCGGGGGCGGGTGCGAGTGCGGGTGTGGGTGCGGGCGCGTGCGCGTGTGCGTGTGCGTGTGCGTGTGGGTGTGTGGGTGTGGGTGTGCGGGTGTGGGGGTGTGTGGGTGTGGGGGTGTGTGGGGGTGTGGGGGTGTGGGGGTGTGGGGGTGTGGCTGTGTGGGTGTGTGTCTATGTGTCTATGTGTATATGTGCAAAATGTGTAATACGTGTATGTGTATATGCGTATACGTGTATACGTGTATACGTGTATATGTGTATATGTGTATAATATGTGTGTGGGTGTGTGGGTGTGTGTGGGTGGGTGGGTGGGTGCGTGCGTGTGTGTGCGTGCGTGCGTGCGTGCGTGTGCGTGTGCGTCTGTGTGTGTGTGTGTGTGTGTGCATGTGGGTGTTTGTGGGTGTTTGGGTGTCTGTCCGTGTGTGTGTGTGCGTGCGTGCGCCAGTGCGTGCATGTGCGTGCGCCTGCGGGGGTGCGGCGGGCGGGCGGGCCAGGGGTGGGTGGGTAGGTGGATGAATGGATGGGTGGTGGGTGTGGGTGGGTGAGTGGTTATGTGTCTGTGTGTGGTGTGTGTGTGTGTGCGCGTGTGGATGTGTTTGCATGTCTGTTTGTATTGGTGGTTGTGGCTATGGCTGTGTTCTTGTGGGTGTGTGTGTGTGTGCGTATGTTTGTCGTTGTGCTTGGTCTTGTGCTTGTGCTTACGGGATGACCTTCTCATTGCATGGTTGGCTGTTTTAACACTGCACCTCGCTCTTCCACGAGACAATCTGGTGGCAAGACATCCACGCTCTCTCTTTTTTTTTTCTTCGGTGAGACCGGCTAGACTTTGAAATGAAGCAATACCCAACAACTGCATCACCTAAATACGTTGAGACAAAAAACAATGGCCTATTTCAAACAGACTTGAAGCAGCCAAGAGGTAGAGCCTGAAACCTACACAGCGACCAAGATCGGAGTGCACCCACAAGAAAAAGGACAGCAATAGCATCAAAAGACGAGCTGCTTAGCTCTCCTCTGGCTCAGCTTCTTTGGCCTTCTTGCGAAAGCTTTTCGCTCGCTGCAGAGTCTCCTCAGTTGCCTTGCAGAGCATCAAATGCATCTCTACCCGACACGTTGGATTTCTATCCCGCTGCGAATACATCCAATGCAAACCAGCTTTCGAAAGCATTAATCTACCAATAATCGTGTGCTCCCGCCTGTGCTATGGCAGCTTCGCTGGCTGCCTGACGCAAGTCTTCACAAACACAATGCCTGCTGTGTCCACAAGTAAGCCCATAATTGACCTCTACAATGCCCTACAATCATTGACAGTGTCCTTTCTGCAATCATAGAAAGGTTAAGCCTAAAGTGATCTTTTCTACGAAACCTTCAAATTAGCACTGGCGCTGCAGAAGGTGGGCAGCTTTGATTGCGGCAGCAAGATCAACTCAGACTCCCCCTCCTGCAACTGCCGGAGCTTGAAGAGCAAAAGGCCCAGGTCATGCAATGCTTTGGCGACGACCTGCAGGGAATTCATCCGCTCAAAACAGAAGTAGCGCCAGCTAGAAAAGAGACTACGTGTCATGAATGTAATGATGGCTCTGCTGCAAGATATTCCAAGGCTTGATTGAAGGAAAAAAGACGGTGGACCTCATAACACTCATTCAGTCATCCTTTTGCAAGTGTGGCTGCGCAACTCTAGAGTCTAAAATAGCCTCAAGGAGGTGCCTCACCGCTGTTGGCCTCTATCTCCGCAGAAAGCATATTATTTGCCTTCTGCAAACCTGAGTCAGCACCAATTCGCATCAGATCCACAAGTTGCACGGCATGAAGCATGGATTGCACTTTGCAAAGGGCAGTTTTAAGAGCTGCACTAGCTCTTTTCCAGTGCTTGTGCTGCACCTGCATCAAAAGGTGATCACCAGAACTAGCACTTCCTCTTTTCATTAATTAACTTCCACCTGATGGAACCCCTCAATTGCTTCCTTCGAGTTCCACCTCTTTAAGAAGTAAACCGGGTTGGAGCGGGGGTTTGCGGCGCCCGTACCATACCCTGGGTTTTTGTACAGCCGGCGGCTGTCCCTCACGCACATTTCATGCCATTTCACTGCTGGTGTCTCAGAGACGGACGGACAAACGGGTTGGATGGATTCCCTGGAAAAGAAGTTACCAAACAAATGAAGAACCCCCACATAAATCACTGGGAGCTTGATGAATTGGGAGTCAACATTGCTTATACCTCACCAAATATCTATTCAAGCATGGAGCAAATAGCGCCTGTCCAGCACTTCCTGTCTCTGTAGCCTCGCCTTGGGACCGAAGGCTTGCTGCTGAATCCCAATGAGAAGCTCAGAAGGACAAGGCCGGTACTGTCCGGCTGCATGCGCTGCATGCCAGGGCCTCTGCTTCCCAATGTCTACAGTCAAATGTTGCAAAAGCTGGGGAAATTGGGGGGGGAGGGGGGGGAATGAACATGTCTCATACAGAATGAGAATCGACCATCTGCGAAATCAAAGAGCAGCTTGCTATCTGGCCAAGGGATTGGCCACTCTGCTCACTGTCTCTGGCCGGCGCCTCTCCTGCATCGCTTTGCAGGACGCTTGCCAGGGCGTTCCCATGTCAGCAAGTGACCCTGTGACAAGGACTTGACCCTCCTGTTTTTGAATGCAAGTAGCAGCTCGCTCGGAATACATTGAGTGGATTAATCCAGAGAGATGTGGGCACAGGCTGACAGATCACAGCACCATAGACAGATCACAGCACCATAATAGTCAACATGTCGAACAGAACTTGCTGCCTCGCCTGCATCCGGACTGCTGACTGCCTCTCCGCTGTGGGATGCATTCACTTCAGGAGCCGCCGGTGGCGCGACCTAAGTAGAAGCAATGCAGATCGCAGAATGGCAGCAGGTTGAAATGTGGCTCACTCCTTCTGCACTGTTGATCATTTTTGTGCTCAAGCGTCCGGCATACACTGGCTCTTCTTTGGCCGGTACCTGCACTTCAGCACAAGTCAGGACGTTCCATGCATTCGCAGTTCAACACTCTGGCGAAACAGAAATTTCATCTACCCGAAACCCCAGCTGCATCCCCAGGCCAGCCTGGCTTGGAGACGTGGGTCGTGGAACCACAGAGGGCTGATCCATGTACGGCGGGACCTTGGGCGATGTATTCAAACAATGCTCAGAGCGACCTAGGGCCCGAGGTCCCCACTGCGGACGGCCATCGCCCATACTGGTCTGGTCGCACAATTTCTACCTGACAGGCGACAGGCTCACTGAACCTCACTGAAGCTCACTGAAGCTCACTGAAGCTTACAGCGCTTCTGTTTGTTTTTGAGAAATAGCCACACTGACGTTGAGCGGTTCAGCAAAGCTCTGAGTTTCCGACACGGTTCAGAACCGCGGCCACGCCAGCAGCAGCACCGACACCTGGCAGATACTTTCAACAGTGAAGTTCAGTCCCGTGGCTGCGGCCTGCCGCGCCGACGCCGGCTGCAGCCACCTTAGCACTTGGAAAAAGAAAAGCTTGGAGTTGAGGAGTTGATTGCAATGCAAAAGGCTGCCATGAATCAACATGTAGCTGCCCGAATGATCAGTCATGCGCCCGCAGAACTGAAACCATCAGACAAAAAAGGACCTGCAAACAGACCCCTGAAAAGGCTCTGCTCAATGGGTCAAACCAAGAAAGCGAACTGTCAGAGACAGCATTTCGGAAGACTTGCAAATCACACCCTGAGCCAACATGTCAGTGTCCTTTGGCCATACATGACATTTCCCATTCATGGTTCGCAGAACTGGAAGACCTCGCCATCGTGTTTTGTGCACTAGGCTTTTCTCCACACACGAGCCCCACAGCAACTACCAGAAGCAGGAGAGTTATTGGGAAAGCGTGAGCCAGAATGGCTCAGCCATTTTCCTGGGTCGCCAACGTCTGGGTTGGCTGTGGCCATGGCGGCCCCTGCCACTGCGCCACTTGTGAGGCCCAAGGCGCCGCCGGAAGCGGCGCCCCCGGCAGCACCGGCCTTGCGTCGCAAAAGAAATACTACATATACTACAAATGAAACATAAAGCCCTGGCAGGAAGGACTGTGAGAAGCTCGCCGATTGAATTCTGAGCACCAAGCGAAGCCACTGTTGCCGGCACCGCCCAGCGCGGCGCCGCTGCCAGCACCAGCGACCGCGCCGGTCACGGCTCCCACTAATGCACCGGCGATGATGTCCTGGCAACGACTGTCGCCGCTTTGTTTATGAAGTCTTCAAAACGCTGACTGAACCCGTCTCTGTGGGGGATGTCCTGAGTCACTTGGAGAGCCCTTTGAAAGTGACTGCGCATGGATCATCATAGGATCTTGTGTGAAGAAACTCAGGACGAGAAACGAGAAACTTGTGCAGGAGCCTGTGAACAGCTCTTGCTGCCGCCTAACCCAAACCTCATCACAGCATTCGGATGGCTATGGCAAAAAAGCCTGCGTCGATTGGGGCAAAGCCACGTGAGTCACCAAACACGTGTAACACGTGCTGTTTACCGGTACCTGCGAGTCCCGGCTGAAGCGCGATTTGTGTGCTGACAGATCGCACCTCGCATGGCCAAGCAGCGACAAGACTTTGGCTGTGGCGGAGAAAAAAGCATTGGCTAACGCATCGTCAACGCCAATCCGCATGCTAAGCTTACAACAGGCAGGCCTAGGTTGCTGCATGGTCAACGGCTGGCGCTAACAACCTCGCATGTGCTAACTTGCTCAGTGCTTCCTCAGGGCAATGCACTATGTGGGCCAAACCCAGAAACAAGCCCACGCAACGCTGCCCGCATCCACCGCTGCATGTGTGAATTGCGGGCGAAGACACCTCGGGCAGCAAGCGAGTGAGCTGGCTGCCCGAAGTCTGAAATTCAGATGGCCAGCAAGCACAAAGACAGGCAGGTAACCAGGCTGGTAACCAGGCAGGCAAGCAAGCAAGCAAGCAAGCATGCCTGACAGTCCTCGGACGGTCAGCGCTGTGGCCAAGAACGTCTATAGCCCATGCCCAGCTGCTAGGGTCAGTTTGGTAGACGCAATTTGGCCGCCACAAGTTTGCGAAAGCCAACGATGGGGCTGCAGCGATCTAAGCTCTGTGAAGCGCATTGTTTCCAGCCACCCAGACAGTGTACATGGCCGCCGCATGGTTGAGCGAGCTTGCCACGCCCAGACATGTGCACCAGAAAGGTTCTCGAAAGCTGTCAAGCAGAGGGGTGAGACGTGTTCTTGCGAGCAACGCATGGATGCAATGCGGAAAGGAATGAGAAGCAATTGAGCATCATTAAACTGAACAGGCGGAAAGAACGATTTGCACAGCTTGACGGGTCTCGAATGATCAGTCCCAATGCCACCACCGACAGCAAATGTCTTTGACAAGAGAGCTGCCATTTTCCTCAACGCATCCCGTCACCAGTCCTCCACCACTGGTGGCGTGCGAAGCTCCCGCCTCTTGCCTGGCTCCGAACTGTCGCTACGTAAAACAATTGTTTGATATCGAAGCCTCAGGCACTGCAAAGATTAAAACAATTGTGTCTAGTTGTGAAACGCAATGTGCTGGTCCGGTGATCACGCTTCTTATGTCAGCATGGGGCGCCCAGGGGCAGGTGTTTCATTGTGGGGTCAGCGCAACCACACCAATTTTATTCAATTCCTCACCGGAAGTGACATTGACCATTTTGACCCAAGTACAGTTTGGACAGTGCTAGGCCTTCTCGACCCGAAGATTGGGATGTTGAACCTGCGACAGGGGAGCGCAGCTCGTTCGGCATAGGCCACAAAATGATCAGATCGCACTTCAAACAAATGCATGCATGCAAATCCTTGCTTCATGTGATTCATGTGACTGTCAGCTTCCAGCCTTGCGAGTCTCCTCGAGCCTCCTAAATCAAAATCAATGCCCACGAAAGGGGCCAGTGTCCGTTTCTCCCCGCGAGAAATCTCGAAAGGATTTTGCCAAAGCCGAGACACGCGAAATCCCAATGGTGAATCGTTCGCAACCAATCGCCGCACGCGTCCTCAACACGGGCCTTGGCGTTCTCAAATTCATCGCTCACATCAAGTCGCCTCCTGACAGATCTGTGTCACGGGCTGAGCCGAAAAATGCTCAACCTGCCTCAGGTCGTTGCCTCCCACGGCGGTGGCCTCGCATGGAGTCACCAGAGGTCACCAGGAATCTTGCTCACCTAGCCTCAAGCCGCATGATCTTGCCGAAGCACAGAGCTAGCACCTCAGTGTCGCTTGTGAGTGCCTTCAATGACTTAGAAACGTACCATCCGGTCATATCCGGTCATATCCGGTTATATACGGTCATATCCAGTCACTAGATCGCCCAAAACGTGCGCATTCCCATCAGAGGGTACATTGACGAACCGCCTCCAGTCATCCGAATTGATGCCTGAATGCGTCATCCAATGCGTGCTCCGTCTTGAGGATCCAGGCACAAAGGATACCGCTTCTGCATGTCCTCTTCCTTGTACTCAGGCGGAGCCACACGAATCAGGAATCTGCAGCTGCTACATTCCAAATCGCAAGCTCCATCAGTCCAACACATCCCGGTGCAATCTTACTCTCTCAAATGTCTGGCAATTCTGATTTACCAAGACAACGCTCACCTCAACCCCGAATGCAAATGGTAGCAGGTATGCATCACTGCCAACATATGCTTCGAATCCTCGCAGGCGCAGCGGCATTGCTAACAGCCATGTTGGCCGGCCAAGTAGCTACATTGGAACGTGTGGCGAAGTTTATGTGAGTGGCATGCAGCTAGGCAGCGAATGTTGCAGGACCAGATTTACAGTATGAATCCAGGAGTCTGCACACACTTCTACAGAGTTTACCGTATCAAGCTGCTCTGCTCATTCCAGAAGAGCTAGAAGAGCTGATCATGATGCTACAAATCAATGAGCCAAACTGAAGCATGTCGAAAAACCATGATGCTGCCTGCCTGCTTCTGACTTTCTTCCGTTCCGCTCAATTTTTGAGGCAGCACCATTGCTCCGTTGTAGCGATGGCTTGCAGAGAGCCGGTCGTCTGCATGTTTCGAAAACTTGGCGCTGTGAGACTGATACTTTGTGGCCACGCCGGGTGCTTCAAACGCACCAAACCCGGTCTAAGCTAAATTCCAATCATCCCTTTCTCAGCTGCAGCCACCGGCTAGCCAAAGCGACAACACCCAGCAGTACCTCTCACTCAACCTTGTCACTCTTGTCACACACACACACTGCGGCCACTTGCAGAACTTGCAGGCAACCAAACTATAGCGAGGCACCACTGCTGCGCAGCCAAACCAGCCGGCCAGGGTGAGAGACCTGAAGCGCGGAGGCAGAGAGGCACTTGCGACTTGGATCGCATAAGGCACCGGCGCCATGATGCATGCAGCCACAATTACACCGGCCAACACCTCAGAGCGCATGTTGCGAACATCCGGTAAGCCACCCTTAGATTCTTTGCCAAGGTCGCAGCCGAGGAGACAGCCTCAGATCAAAAGAGAGCATGGATGTTTGCCAACACTTCGCCCCACCTCAAACAAGTCCATGCCCAACAAGTGCGCGACCTGCAAAGCGAACACCTAGCTGTAATGTTTTTAAGACCAAGGCAGCGGCCATTGCCCCCGTCCACGCCCCCGTCCCAGGCAGTGGAACACCCACAAACCTGAGATCAATATGTAGCGGGTCCAGTCCAGTCGTTTCCACGCATTGTACGCTCCCACCATCTTAAATGTCACCCGGAACACTAAGCGATGTGCGCAGCTATGCCAACCCAGCGGTCATGCGCTCCAATCGGCTCTGTTTTCCTCAGTGTCAGCTCACTCGTGCCTCCACTCTGAGGTGGTGAAAACGTCACTGGGGGGCAGACTGAGCGGCACGATTTAGTAGAGGTGAAAGAAGCTTGTTTATCTTCTCACTCCTGCGTTGCCACTCAATGGGAGTATGTGTGATGAGGAATCCTCAGCTCATCAAATGAGATATTCGCAATGCCTCAGAGAGAATTTTGCCTTTGTAAAGCCCCCGATTGACTGCTAGTCTCCTCAGTGCGGCGAGCAGCAGCGGAATTGGAATCATATTGCCCACGATACAAAGCAGCAACACCTGCAAATAACTCCATGGGCATGCTCAATGCTGGTTCGTGTCGCGCTCCTTGTATGCTTCCGACCAACTGGATATGCTGTGTTGCGTCCCATTGGATGCAGACTAAAGCCAGCCATGAAACCCTTCCGTTGAGGTTGCCCTTCAAGCGATTTGAGGTGCATCCATTGCCTGTGGCACAGCCAATCCCATCCAAAGGCCCACAGGGACACCCCCTCGAAGCTCCACCTGGCCGCGGTGTGAAGCTGCAGTCAAAAGCATATGGGTGTTCCTTAAAATAGGGACCCGCCAAAAAAAGAAGCCCCTTTGACTTCCCTTCAAAACCACCAAGAATGGGTGCCCTCAGCCCCTTACACCCAGTTCACCGAGTTCATCTGTTTTGACATGGGGCAAGCTCTTGTGCAGGTCCTCGATAAAATCATGTGAGCCCGACCAAAGGCAGTGCTGAGAGAAGCATCAGGATGGCCCAGTCCTCAGAGTCAATGACAATGGGAAGAGCCTTAATTTAGACCCCATCAAGTCCGACGATCCACCCAGCTGGCGTCATAATGTTGAACAGCGAAGAAGCGAGCCCTTGCTGGATATCACCCACGCTGGCTCTCACATCCAGGATTGCAAGTCTGAACACTAGAGGTGTTCAGACTCTCAGTCTCCAGCTGGGATACCAAAGGACTGCTTCATCTTCATGGCCAGCCGAACTCCCAAATGAGGCCTCACGTGGGGTAGATGAGTTCTTGGAATTGAGATGAGTTCATGGCTTTTCTGGGGTGCCCAACTTTGCCGCAGCTGCAGCCGGTGCTGCCTGCAAGGCCTGGGTTGGGCAGGGGGGTACTGTATGTGTAGGCCCAAGGGACTATCGAGCATTTGAAGGCAGCGCCCTGAACCTTGATTCCGCTGCTCTTTTTTCAACCGACTGCGTCTGCTTAGCCTGGAAATACATGGATGCCCACGTTTAGGCCCAAAGGTCACACCAAGGACCTGCTTAGCTCTTAGACGAGCAGGCTAGAACAAGGCAGCTGGTGGCTTGAAAATCTGCGATCCTGCCTGGGCACTTGACATAGCCGTGGCAAAGCCAAGGCAAAGTCCAAGTAGAACACCTACAAGAGCTGATCCTTGGTCATTGCACCCAATCTTGGCCGCTGTCCAAGCTGCACCGAAAAGGTGCAGACAGCGCTCCTAAAAAAGTATGGGGATGCTCCTGGCTCCTTCAAGAAACAGTGGTTGTCTAAAAACGCTTGTTCAAGGCCTGATGACATCCCTATGAAACACGCTCAGTTGCGTTGACTGCACCATTTGCATCATGCATCAATGCACACAAAGACCTACTTCGCTAGCATGACAAATAGCCAGTTCAATCGAGATTCGTTTGATCCGCAGGCGAGGCTCAGCTCCTCCCTCGACCTGATTCCGCGCTTTGAACCAACGTTGGTGAGCTTTGGAAAGCATTTCGGCTTCTGGCTAAATGCCAGCTGCTCTTCAGATTCAAACGAGCTGGCCTCGCAACACAGACAAAACTTCACGCACAGTGCTGCCATAGTGTCTTGCCTCAGTGCACTCGCGCTCTCTGCGCCTTCAATCCAATTACAGGAAGCGCCGCGAAAAGTCATGCATGCCCGCAACCTGGCCTGGTCTCAAGCCAAGCGCAGGCAGACGCGCCTGCGCAAACGCACTGTGTTGGGTCAACTATTGTGTTCGCACTGGAGCTGTCGCCTGATTCGTCAGCTGTAAACTGGGGTTAGCCAAATCCATGGAGCCCTGAAGCGGTCAAACTGCAACTTCGCATCACGCAAACAGCGCTGCATCAAGTTCTCCTCATTGAATCTTAAAGGCTTGTGTTGCTGATACCGTCGCTGCGCTTTTTGCATCTGGCTATTGGAGTGGGTTGCGAATCGCAGGTTGGATCTTGCAGCCGCCGGGTTTCCGGTTCTGATAGCTCATTATTCCCTTTCTGCTGATCTTGCTTGCATTTGCTGGTTCAGTCGTTGTGCAGTTGTTGGTGATGGTCGAATGCGTTGTTTGACAGCAGCATTGGCGGGTCCGTAGTCGTTTGCCCCCGCTGCGTCAGGGTACTGAAATCCGCCGACCCTTGTCTGCAAGGGCAAGGCGCACGGGAAGGCTGGTCAGTACATCGAATGCTTTTCCAATCGTTAAACGCAAAGGACCCTATCTTTTTTGGATAGGGTAAAATGATGGGGATGTGCTGCCGCATCCTATTTGTTCTATTCCTAATTGTTCATTCTACATAGGATTCAAAAGGGACGTTGGACCTTGGCGGTGCAACAAAACGACATGTTTGGTGCTTCTCGTCCCAGATGTTGGGGACCCCAATCGCCCGTTTCTTACTATCGGATGTGGTGCCGGTTGTGTGCTGGGGACATCGCTGGTGTTTTGCTTACGGTGGTCCCTCTGATGTGCTCTGGATGCTGTGGTGTTTGGGAGCTGTCGACTGAAGCTCACTGCTCACTAGTTGTTTAATACTAATTTCAGGGGAGCGTTATCTTATCGGTATGTATTTATTTCGGGGATGCTAGTTTTTACGCGTAAAACATTTTGATGGGTGCCATTAAGATGTCATCATTAGTATAAGTATTGTCCTTCTTAGTGTCACCATTGTGTTCATTATTACTAACATAATATAATGTGTATATATATATATATATGTAAACTGTGATCGGATTGGGGTCGACGACACAGCGCGGCAGCCCTTAGATTTCTCTGTTACACTTGCACCGAGCTGTGATTTGGCAATGATTGTACGAATATCGAATGGTATTGTGCAAATGTAAATCCCAGCTGGAGCTGGAGTCAGAAAGCTGGCATTTGCATACAAGCTTCAATTGCTACTACCCTCTGACCTTCTGGCATATCCGATCATGGAGTAGGTGCATTATTGGTGGACACTGGCTGCCGCTGGTCGCAAGTTGCTAGGCGTGTGTTGTTCCTGTGTGTGTGTGTGCGCGTCACAGCCACAAAGAGTTGCGTCACTCAAATACTTGCGCATCACTCGGCAGCTGGCGCAGGCAAAGCCGGGCTGCCATCCATGCAGCGACCTGAAGAGCACAAGTGGCTCCAGTGCGGTTGAACATTTCTGGAAATAGTTCTTTTGAAGCGACTCTCATTTGAGGCTCCCCGCTGGTGCTGGTAAAGCAAGAAGGCTCCGGCTGCGCCAAGAACTGCGCCTGACTTCTGTTCAGTGAGTTCAGCTATGCAGCGGAGTTTCATAGCTGCAAGCCTGGGCGATCCAGTCGCGGCATGGCAGCGGGCTTGAAGCAAATAAGGCTGCACTGAAGCTGAATGCAGGATGTGTTTGTGTTTGCTGAGCTGGGTGGTTGCAATACCTCTGGCCCTGCCAGCCGGCTTTGTTGAGGCCAATGCTTGCTGTACAATGGATCAAGACTCAATGCTAAAGAATTCCAACAATGCCACTCAGTTGACACCCGCGAGTGCCTTCTTGGGTATCCGCCACTCCTCGCACAATCTTGCCCGGCTCTCTCTACAAGGCGCCTATCTTCTAACTTTGCCACCTCTGCACAAATGTTGACGCAAACCAGGCAAACCAGGCTTCGCGCCATCCCGTAGAGCTTCTCCACACACCTGAGCCCAACGCATCTCCAGATCCCAGCTCTGCTCAAGTGCCGCCCCAGGGCCCTCACGCTCGCGGCCGCGCCGGCGCTGAGAAGTTCTGGCCCCGGATCTCCAGCGTGCCCAGAGGCTCCACCTTGGGAAAACATTCCGAGTCTCTGGAAACTTGAAGTGTGATTTCAAACAGGCCATGAAGATCACTGAGGCAAATGACTGAGAGAGGGAGAGAGACAGAGAGACAGAGAGAGAGAGAGAGAGACAGAGAGAACGTGTGCAAGTCAGAAGGCGGAAGCTGGTGTGAATATGGTGTCGCTCGTCAACATGACGCACAGCAATGGCGCCAAATCAAAACCTACCTGCTTTGTTTTGTAACAAGGCGAGTTTGGGGTGCTGTGCTGTGTCATCAAATCTAATTTCCCCCTCCCTTCCCGCCAACTGATGCCCGGCGAGCAACACAGTCTGCTAGGTGAAGATCTGTGATTTGCCACCAGTCGCTGGCATAGACCTACAGCTCACACAAAAGTCGCGCCAGAGAAGAAGAAATCAAGTGAGGCCGTGGCGTCTAAGTGGAAGTCAGTGGGTCGGCTAAAGCGGTCACCTTCTTGCCTTGGACCCCATTGCATGGGGCAACATGTTTTTCCAACCTGAAACCTGTTTTTCTGACCGGAACCCGCTTTTTCTGACCAGAAAACTTGCTTTACTGACCGGCCCATGGCGGGGGGGTTGGGGGGCACTCGACACTTCTAGTCGCTACTTCTGATCGACACTTCTGATCGACACTCCTAATCGACACTTCTGAGCAACACTTCTGATTGACACTTCTGATCGACTTCTAGTCGACACTTCTGATCGACACTCCTAATCTGCCATGGCATTCTTCAGGCCTCTCAGCGTGACGTCAAGCGCAGGACTCTTTCCAGCAGCTGGGTCTGAAGCGATAACTGCCCAGCAACGTTGTCGCGACATGTAGTCCTGCCACTGCACGCACAAATCCTTGTGCAACAAACTGCTGACAATCACTTTGAAAGCGTCCCATAGCATTGCAATGACAGCAGCCGCGACAAGCTTTCAAATAGAAACACAATTTCATTCGCGCACTCAACGCAATCATGCTTCACATCATGCAAACCACGCCGGAAATCATCAGGCATGTCTGCCAGGGCGTCTTTGCCCAGCATTCCAGATTGTCAGGCAAGGTCCTGAGAGCCTCCGCCACCGCAAACCCATCTTGCAAGCAAGTGCAGAATTGAACAACATAGCGCTGAAATTGTTCAGTCGGACTCTGCGCTCCAATTGTGAAGGTGGAAGAACAAGCTCGCCCGACGGCGCCTCTGTTTCTGTCCTTTCTGCCAGGCTGCTGTGTTCTGCGCGCTGCATCAGGGCAAGGCTCGAATCGCTCAACAGCACTGCCAAACGCAGGCCGTCAAACGCTGGGCGCGGGGGTGTTGAATCGCTTGCCTAGTTTGTTTGTATCGATGGGTCAGGAAGTGCAGCCTTGGACACACGGACGGCGCGCTCATTTCCACGCGTGTCATAGCAAAGTTCCTGCACCTCCTCACACAAGTGCTGAGCTGCCTCCGGCAAGTCGCTGCAGAAGAACGCGTTTGCCTGCTCTTGTAAACAGCGCCGCCTGTCCTGCAGCTGCAGCTCCGCACCTTCTGAAGGTCTCTCGCGCGCTGACTCGCAGCTGCCTCTAAGGCGATCTTCAGCTGCTCTGACGCCATCGCGCAAGCGACCTGCTTCTCAAACTCTCCGCGGTCGTCGGGCGCCAGCCAAGGCGTGAAATCTAACAGTCTGCGCTGCGCAGACACGCACATCTGCCCAACCCATTGTGATCACACTCCAGACGCTGCTAGACGCCTCTCTGCAGACACACTGGGCGTCGAGGCTCCAACTTCACCCACGCAATGAACCCACACTTCTGCATGTAGGGCCTGGCAACAGCATACCTGTGCGTAGGCTTTCTCATACATGACAATGGTCTTATCCATGACGCGGCGCTTCTGCGTGTTTTCCTCTGTCCGCAAAAAGTTCTTGGGCTCGCCCCACGCCCGCCACTCACCAGCTTCGTCTTTGCGGCCAACCGCCAAGCAGTCCACTACAGCCACCTTGCCCGCCAACTTGCCAGACCGACCAACCCGCCCTCGCTTGTGGCATTGTGTGCTTCGGATTTCCTATATCTTCCCTGACCCAAGAATCAAGTCGCACCATTGCTTCTGCACCACCAAAGCCACGTCTGGCGCGCCATCAGCAGCACCGCCTCGCGCAGCCCGCCGCCACGGAGGGATCGCTTTTCAGGCTGCCCGCTGCCGCCCGCAGCTCTGCAAGAACCTAGTTGCCCTTGCAGACCATGACCTCAACAGCGTGACCCTCTTCACACCGCAACTTGCCAGTAACTACGACTTTATCCGACTGGCCACTTTTGAAGCTTTGGCCTGGCCAAGGTCGCCAGCCGCTGGTGCCACGTGACGCGCTCCTTGCGCGCATGCAGCCTGCCAACAACAGTTGACACAGGCTGCCCTTCAACCACAGCAGAACAAGTCTGCTTGCTGCGCCACATCATGTCTGCAACTGCAGTGTCTGTGGAGCTTTCCACCTCGGACGCTAGCGTGGCGAAGCCTCTCGCAAATGCCTGCAGGGGCTACACGCGCAAGATTGAGATTTGCATCTGCGCAACCAACCTTGCAGCTCTAGAATCACTCCAAACGGCCGGCCACGCTCAGCCCTCCTGCAAAGGCTGCCTGGCAGCAACAGCGCCAACGAACACGCGCCGCTTACACTGCCGCCTCCCCTGCTTGTACCTACGCACGCCCCGCTGGCTGTAGCTCTTAGGTTCTGTCATCTCCTCGCTCTGAGCCGTCACCGCTGCCAAAGGTGCCGGTTTGCAGGGGGTCTTCTCCTGATGAAAGCCAAAGCTGTTCTGACTTCAGAAGGTGTGTGAGACTGCCGAAGGGTCGCTCTTCATCATGCTGCTCGCACCCTAGAGCCTGCCACGGAAGCTTCTGCGCATCAATACGGCTGAGCTATGAGCCGAACCTTCCAAGGCGCAACGCTACAAGGCCCTGCCAGCCGCTGCAGCCTCTGGCGTGTTGCACACCACTACGTCGACCAAATGGGCTATCCACTTGCGGCCACGCCCCAGCCCATAAACATTAGGGGCGCCGACAGGAAAAGCCTCTTGGGCAGCGCTCCAAGACCATATCCAGCACCGCATCCTTAACTTGTGCAGCCTGACCACTCGTCACACTGCGCACATGTCCATGCGTGTGAGCACGCTTGACCGAGCTTTCAACATTTCCAAGCCCTTGCGGAGGCGTGAGCAACCTGCTCGTTCTGCGCAGTCTCTGCGTGCGCCTGTTGGCCACCAGAGTGCTCTCTGCTCAGCGTGCAAGGCAAGCCTGCTCATCCTTGTCCGAAGAGTAAGGTACACTGATCCACCCACCAGCCTTTTGAAACTCAGCTTCCAGAACATGACCAGAAAGCTTTCCAGTGTCCAGTCCTCAGCTTCGAGCACTAACGCAAGTGTCACGCTGCGTTCGCACAGGCGCTTGCCTCCAAGGCATCTGCCCAGCGTGCGCTCATCGCCTCTCACGCAGGAGCATCGACGCGCACTAGCTGCCAGTTCTCGCTCGTGCCTGCAGTTGCTTGAAGCCTCTTCCCCCGCATGTAAGTCAGTCACACGCCGTAGCCTAGAGCGCCTTGCTGGAAACCTACGCTCAGGCTGCAATAGCGACCCACTAGCGCAGGCCGAAATGCGCATGAGCATCTCTCACAAGGGAACTTTTGTGCCAACCTGCGCAGCCGAAAAGCGCCGGCCAAAGTTTGAACCACCACTTTGCACGAGCCTGCGCAGTCGAAACGCGCTTCAAGATTTTATGAAGTCACGATTGTACGTAAATACCACGAAAAATGGTCCAGCTCAGAGCGAGCACCCCAATCTAGCACCGGGCCTTTACCCTTGCCGTAAGAACCCCTTAGTGTTAGCACACTGTTTGGGGAAAAATGAAAGTAATAAAGAGAGCAAGAAGGAGAAAGAAAGAAAGAAAGAAAGAAAGAAAGAAAGAAAGAAAGAAAGAAAGAAAGAAAGAAAGAAAGAAAGAAAGAAAGAAAGAGAGAGAGAGAGAGAGAGAGAGAGACAGAGAGAGAGAGAGAAACAGACCAAAAAAAAAAGAAAGAAAGAAAGAAGGAAGGAAGGAAGGAAGGAAGGAAAAGAAAGAAAGAAAGAAAGAAAGAAAGAAAGAAAGAAAGAAAAACCAGAAACAAAGAAAGAAAGACAGAGAGAGAGAGAGAAGGAAGGAAGGAAGGAAGGAAGGCAGGAAGGAAGGAAGGAAGAAAAGAAAGAAAGAAAGAAAGAAAGAAAGCTGGAAAGAAAGAATGAAAGGAAAAATGAAAGAAAGAACAGAGAGAGAGAGAGAGAGAGAAAGAGAAAAAGCGAATGAGAGAAAGAGAGAAAAAATAAATGAGAGAAAGAGACAGAGAGACAGAGAGAGAGAGAGAAGAGAGAAGAGAGAAGAGAGAAGAGAGAAGAGAGAAGAGAGAAGAGAGAAGAGAGAAGAGACAAGCACGAGATTCGCGGCGATCTCTCGGGCGGACAAACAGGTTCGGCGCAGCTTGGCAGGTTCGCGGCCGACCCTGGCACAAGATTTGCGGCGGTCCCTGGGTCGGAAAAGCCGGTTCGGCGCAGTGTCGCAGCGGTCCCGGGGTCGGCAGGTGGAAAAAAACACATCTGGGGTCCAAAAAAAAAGGTCCGCTTGGTCAACACCTGTCCTCGACTTCGCGACATTCAGCACGATGAATGCCCAAAGGGGACACTTAGTGGGTTGCATGTCTCTGAAAATCACAGGGCACTCCAAGAGCGGCGCCCGCCGATGATGGAAGTTGCAAAGCCCTCCCAATCGGCACAAACCCGAGAGACCTTCTCCTGGCAGCCACTGGGAATCTCGAAATTGCCTCGACCTGAGCTGGCACCTCCCATTGATCAACCCCGAAGAGATAGCGGCGCCCGCCGAAGAACTCAGCCGCCTCGATTAAAAGAAGCGACGAGTGTCATTACGCTCAGCCATGTTTGCCTTTCCACCGAAGCATGAATTCCAGAACGCGTATTGGTTTGCTAAGCAGTGCTAGCTGCCCTTGGGAAGGAGCCTCCAAACCTCGCTGTAGCTGTGGCCAGTGTGAGCGGTCAACCACAATGTCCATGTCCTTGGCAGCCACATGAGCTCAAAAGATTCAAAACTAGTTCAGCGCAGGGGCCTGCGTCCATGGTAGGATGTCGTGCTCCCTTACTGCACCTGAAGCAATGGCCAAGCTGGCCTGCTAGTTGGGCAGCTGAAGCACGCACGCTCTCCTGCGTCCTAGGGTCCTACCCTCTTCTATTATTTGTCGCTTGGAGTCGGACGGTGCCTCCTTGCATTTGTTATCTTGCTTCTTTCCAAACGAAATCGTTTGTCTCCCAGTGCCCATGCCTCGGGTCATCCGCACCTGTTCTAGCGGTTGGTTTAGGCTTGCTTACATCTGTGAGCATGTGGAGCGTAGAGGGCGCAGGTTTGTCCCCGAAAGCCGAGGCCCCGGAGTCTGTCCCATTCTGCGCGTATCTTTACCTGCAACTTGTTGTGAGATTGTCGTTTGCTTGGTACTCCAAACCATGAAAAGCATTGCGTTTGGGCACTCTCCGTGTATGTGGCTGTATCAGTTCCGGCACGGCACCCAGCAACGTCCCGTAGGTGATGAAGTACGGAATGTTCTCTTGTTGTAGCCAGCGGGTAACATCATTGAGCATGACCATCATGTAGTCGCTGCAGCATCCATACCTGGCGACTCAGAAGCTGCACTGGGGGTGTCCCTCTTTTCAGCCGGGGCGCGGAGTTGTCAGCGACCTGAACTCCGGGCGTCACAGCAATTTCCGCTGAGGACACAGGCCTTGTTGATGAACTCAAACAGCTCGCATTCCGGTCACACTTCGGGGTGCGACAGGACACAGACTGCGCAGGCGCGTCCAATCTTGGAGCAACATGCAATCAATCTGCTCCACTGCTCGAATCAACTTGCTGAATGTCTGCAGACATTCAAGCTTATCAGCCTGAATGGTGGGAAGTGCGCTGAGCTCCTTCTTGAGGTTTGGCTCCTTGGCCGTCCTTGGAGAGCAAGGAAAATGGAAACTGCTCTCTCAGTTTTGCCTTGCCTCGTATCACCAGGACCCACATCAGCCACAGCATCCGCATGGCCATACGGGTAGGGGAAGTTACTACCTGGAAAATACAACGCTGGGCAAATCGGCAAATCTGCTTGATGGATCTTTCTAGCTGGCAAGAGCTCATAAGCTTCTTTCTTCACCTGCCCTTGCCTCGGTCATGGCCGCCATACAAGTCACTTGCCTTTCCTGGAGCAATCTGTATCTACAGCACATGAGAGTGCCTTGCCACCGCGATGCCCTGCCTCCGTAGCCGAATCCGTAGCCATACTGCGACCTGAGCAAAGCCTATGGTCTGAGGCTGGAGAAGCGATTTAGACTCAGGCCCCGACTCCCGGGCAGCCAGTCGTAGCAGAATCTCGAACCTTAGCCCCAGCAAACAAGCAAAATTCAACCTCTCTACTTTCCAGAGAACCAGCCGAGCAAAAGGCTAGCCACCAATCTTGGCAATGCGACAAATACCACGGAGGCGCAGGCTGATCCCAGCGTGCGGACTGCTCAGCCAAGCCAAGTTTGTGCCAAAGCCTCAGGAGCATGACTCGCTACTTGTTGGTAGACAGATTAGACCTGTTGAGCAAGATCCCTGCAGGCTGCTCTCTGCTTCTCTCTCTCTCTCTGTCATAAGCACCATGCTCGCTGGAGTCTATCTGGCATTTGGATGACTCTGGCTGAAGCCTTGGTCACTTGTCAAGGTGCAGGCACGGCTCTCCCAACGCAACTGAAGCCAGGTGACAGGGAATACTAGGACGCGGGCATGGCAATCTGGTCTGAAAGCCGTGACAGTGCCTATGCAAGCAACCGTCCTCTTGGTGTCCAAAGAAACTGCTTTTCCTTGCAACCAAGGCACGGCACCAGTGACCAGTGCCATCATGAAAAGCACAAGCAGCATTCCTGATTGCCATAGCTTGTAAGGGTTGAGGCTTGGACTCTTTTGGAAAAGCTGAAATTCTGCCTTTCCGGAATCCCAAGCGCCAGACTGCGCAGCGTGTCCACCAACCCTCGCAGGCTAGGATCAGCTTCCGCCTCTGCTGTTGAGTGAAAACACGGCTCCCCAGCCACCAGCAGTGTATTAAGTCATTGAGAGGCACAGCAACTCACGACATGTGAGACCCGGACACAAGTGCTTGTTTCCCCAAAACGACCAATAATATATTCAGTTGCTACTGTGTCCCATCAGCTTGCGATATGAATCATCAAGCATTTTGAGTGCTGCTCTTCGGTGTGTCAAACCAAAAGCCCTAAGGCCATGGCAATCTTCTTCCGGTAGCTGTCCGAGATGCCGGCGAGCACCACGAAGGCAACGACGCCAAGCGACCAAAGAGCCTGTGAGTTCTCCCGTGCTCAAAGCAAGCGCATTGTGCGTCCTGCCCTACTGGGAACAACTGCACCCCCAATCGATCTATCAAGGCGTCGAAAGCTAGAAAGCGCAGTACATATGCAAATTAACTCGGATCAGTGCCAACATTTCTGCGATCCGGTAACTCGCCAACCGCGCCTTCTCGGTCCTGCCCACCCCAGCTGGCAAGGCAGAAGCTGCCAGAGACGCATCTGCTGCGTCGGCCGCATCTGCATCTGGAGGTGATTGTGGACCTATAGGTCTGACGCCATGGAGAAACACATTCTTTTTGGTCAGCGCAGTGCCCAGAACAGCTCTTCCAAACTAGACCCACGCCCACCTGGAGCAACGCCGGAGTCAAGCAACGCAGCCTGTCGTATTCAAACCATTGTGCTGGCTGCGCCTGTCAGCCTTCTTGTTGAACAACATGTACTCGAACATATTGCTCGCTTGACAACAACACTCTCTTGGTTTATACCAAATCAAATCTGTCCCAGCGATGCCTCTCTTGCGCCCAAGCGAAGGCGTCGCACAGTGTTGTCATAGTAGCCTGAATTGTGGCGGCTTCGCGACTTGCCTCTGCATCGTATGCGGCTGACCCTCGTCAGAGAGCCCACCAGTCACGTAGCCGCACGCCCAACCTGCGAGCCGTGAGGCAATCCAGGGAAAAGGTTGGAAGCCAAGGAATGGCGTCTTTCACAGCCCGCAACTGAATCGCACAAAGCCGACCTCCCTCCGGTTGCCGCGCATCGCATGGTGCCGCCGCCACGGCTGCATGCATGGTCCCTTGCCTGGGTCGAAGCATCCGTCCCGCTCTGGCCCCGCCTTCGGTTGGCTTCTGCCTGTGGCTATTACAAACCCGCGTCATGCGTTTGGCTCGCCACCTGCGTGAAAAATGCTGTTTCTGAGACTGACCTGAACACGGAGCTGCGCACACTCCTCGTTGGACTCTGCACGAGTAAGGGAGAGCTACCGCAATCCTTCGCTTTCCTCGCCCTGGGGGCCCTGCGTCCATGCCAGACGGTCTGGCTCCAGGGGCCACCAGCTCTGGCCATCGGCTGAGAGCCAGGCCGGCTCCTGCCGATCCCGCGCAACTGGCTGCCACCAGAATTCGAAGGCTCGGTCCTTCCACACATCCGATGTGTTCCCGAGCCTTGCAAGGCCACAGCAAATCTCCAGGCACGAATCCGATCACAACCGTTCCAAAGGATGTCTCTTCACGCATAAAGACCGGCACAGCTTCAACCGAACGCCCAACATCCGAGGTATAGCAACTGAAAGAGAACCTTCTTCTGAGGTGAAACCATGCTGACAGCCAAAGGCCACGGCAGTGGACCAAAGCCCTCATCCGGATAAGAGTAGCCGCCAAAGAGTAGGATGACCTGGGAGGCCTGGCAAATGGGGCTCTTTGAACAAAGGGACTCTGAGTGAATCAGACATTCGAGTCGGTTGTTTTTTGGGGAGGTGGCTGGCACGGCTCTCCTCAACCCGCAGCGTCACCTGGGCGCATGCCGTGACATGCTGAGACCCATTGGCAAAACCCATGAGGCCGAAACCGCAGTGGCTCCGATGCGTGGGCCCCAGGCACTCACAGCTCGCGCCTGCCGAATGGGATAAGAAGCGCCGAAGTGTGCTCATTTCGCCCCTTGAAGCCAGCCTGGGTCCAGGCCACTCCATCACCACTGAACCAGACATCTGCCAGCGCACGCCCGGCCTCGCACCATTCATGCAAGCCACGCTTAATCTTCACTCTCTCCCCAGCTGAAAAGGAAGTGTGGCGAGTGAATGAACAACAGCCATCCCCAAAGAGGTTCTGAAATTTTGAGTCAGACCCATTTGAGGTCCGATTGTCTAGGTGTGAATGTCAGTTCGGGACTGACGCGCTAAAGTTTAAAGGGGCACAAGCGGGGCATAAGCTCCTAATGTCGGGGAACCTTTTTTTTCAACCCTCCGAACCTTTTTTTTTAACCCTTCCCTTTTTTTCTAGCCCTCAAACCTTTTTATTTAACCCTCCCCCCTTTCTTTTCAACCCTCGCGCCCCTCTTTTCTAACCCTCCCCCCTTTCTTTCCAACCCTCTACCCTTTCCTTTTAACCCCTCTGCCTTTTAACCCCTCTGCCGGGCCTGTAGCCGAAGCCTACGGCAACTGCGCTAAGCTGAGAGAAGGAAGACAGCACGCGCGCGCACTGCTGCCTCGCCGAGGCCTGCGACCGAAGCCTTCCACAGCTGCACTGAGCGAGAGGAAGACAGCTACAGCGCGCACACACACACACACGCACTCCTGCCTCACCAAGACCTGCGACAAAAGGCTTTCGCAGCTCAGGGCCTCCAACCGAAGTCTTCCACAGCTGCACCGAAGTCTTCCACAGCTGCACCGAAGCCTTCCACAGCTGCACTGAGCTAAAGGAAGACAGCTGCAGCGCACACACACACAGGCACACTCTGCTGCCTCGCCAAGGCCTGTGACCGAAGCCTGCACCAACTGCTTCCCTCGGAGGGATGTTCTTGGCCGGCAGCCGCTTCCCTTGTTGCTTCACCGTGTTGCCCCATCCACCCCGACCGCCCTGACTCACGGGCCTGGTGCACCTTGGCACAACCGGGCTCTCGACGTGTTGCCGCACCGCCTAGCCGCAAAGGGGAAGACATGCGTATTTGCAAAGCTTGGCAAGGCAGGTGTAGCACACTTGCTTCAATGAAACTACGCTGCCTTTTTCTCACGGGGCATGTGGCCAAATGGCTTCCTCGCAGGCGTGTGGCAAAGTGGCTTCTTCACCATGTCTTCCGTTTGCGTCCCCGGCGTCGTTGGGTTAAAATGTTCCGCATGTCGGCAGTGGGGTCATCTTGCAGCGCCTTGACATAAAGCACATGTTCGCAACCTCCATGTAGCAAGAACTCACGGCATGTGCACAGCTTGCCTGGAACTGGTTTCTTCAGCTTGCGGCGCACGCGGGGCCAGGAAGCTTGTGCAAGATGCCCCTCCAACACTGCGCAGCACTGCTGCATGTACTTCTGCAACGCTTTCAATTCCAACTCCCCATCCTTGGCAATGCCAGTTTTGCATAACCATTTTTCGAGCTGCGGGCCTTCGGAAGCTATGAGGTTTGCGACCACCTCGGCCACTGCGGCGTCACGACCGCCTCTTGCAGGCATCGCGCCTCCCTGCAGTCTGCTTTGCGGAACCCAGAAAGTTGTCACGCCGTCCACATCGGTTCCGCCTGCTTCCCCAGTGCGGATGTAGACCTGGCGGTAGTTGCGATTGCCACACAGCCGCGGCTCCCGATGCTCCCAAAAATCCCTCGCAGGGGATCTGCCCGCGTACCGCGGGCTTTTGCTGTTGAACAATGCGTCTGCGGAGCGGGCGGGCCATGTCACTAAAGTCTTCTCCTCCTCCCATGCAAACCTGGATGCCCAATCGTTTTCAAACAGCTGTTGCATAGAGGCAAAGATTTCTGTCGGAAGCCTGAACCAACTGCGCTGAGCTAACACTGCTGCCTCGCCGAGGCCTGTGACCGAAGCCTGTGACCGAAGCCTGAACCAACTGCGCTGAGCTAGGGAAAGACAGCCGCCAACGCACGCGCTGCTGCCTCACCGAGGCCTGTGACCGAAACCTTCGGGCCACTCACAGTGTGCGCGCGCCGCTACCTTAAACTCCGCGCATGAGACGCTGCTTGCGCTACCTTGTTCAACAAGTATGGATGGTGACAAGAAGGTGGCCCACACTTTTGCCATTTGTTTAAGCTTGCAAACCACAAGTCGCACGAACGCTGCTGGAGTAAGCTCCCCTTAAGCACGCGATGTCCACATATCGGTCGCAGTCAACCTATCTACCTCGCAAACACTTCCCTTCATCGTTTCTGCCTTGAGTAACATCTGCTTCAGCCCGCATCAATACGCCTACCTAACAAACCGTGTACGGATAACCTATGCGCTGAACAACTTCACTTAAACTCAAGATACAAAGAAGCAAGGCTGCAACTACGGTAAGCATTATTGAGGAGAAGTTACAAGAGGTGGGATGGGGCCATAAGCTCAAAAACTCCAACTAAAAACGGCAACACGGCGAGGAACATAGGACCAATAACCAGAGTGCAACCGTTGTCCAGCCCGTTGTCTAAGTGACTCGTGATCCATCGTTATCTTCCCACGCAAACTGCCCTGAATAACTCAATCCGATGATGTAAAAAACAGTCGGGGATGATGAAAGCAAGGTCGAGGACAAAAAACCACTAACAAATTGAAAAACGTCTGCCTGGTACACACCAAAGCTGCTGTCCAGTGCGCCAAACCAAAGTTTGAGGGTTAACAAAACCAGGGCCGAGGGTGCAAAAGGCAGGGGAGAGGGTGAAAAAAGAAAGGTTCGGGGTGAAAAAAGCAAGGTTGAGGGTGAAAAGAACAATTTCAAGGGTTGGAAAAAAAGGACTCCTGAGGGTTAGAAAAACAAGGTCCCCTGTTGAGAGGTTCCAAAAAGGTCGGAGGGTTAAAAAAAAAAGGAAGGGTTGAACAAACAAGTATGAAGGGTGAAAAAAAAGGGAGCCCCCTAATGTCTGCTTCAGTGTGGCAATTCGTGGACTGCGCCTGCCTGGTCAGTGCCACCAAGCACCCAAAGACCTGAGCTACAACATCTGTTTCCCAAACAACCGAAACCAGTGTGCAGAGAGGGGAAGCCGGCAAGCCCGCTCTCCGAAGCGAGTTATGCAATGTTATGCAAGTAAATAAGTGCAGAAGAGGGGCGAGGTTCGCTGGTGGAGGTGGCCGCGAAATCAGACCGAGCAGACCTGATGGCAATTGAGGCTAGCATGCTAGCCGCTTTTCCGAGGGTAGATCACCACGTGGGCAGTGGTAGTGCCGAAAGAATGGCATGTTAGCGTTGCCACAACTTACATGCTGAGGTTATGGCCAGGCAGCGGAAGCTGTGACTAACCTCCACTCTGAAGATGTCAGCCTTGCGCAGTGTGCAAACAGAGTGCAAAGTGCTGGACCCTCGGTCAGATGATTAGTCGTAATCTATTCTGACTGTTGATGGCACGGTAGTCAGAACGGAAGTCAACCTCCCGCTGAACCCGGCTAGCAAATGTGACGGCCTGTCGACATCCAATAACAGTGCCCAAACCTTGAAAGGGCACAGCAGGCAAAAATGAAGGAGCACGTGCCGGCGCGTACACCTGTGTCCAAGCCATCAGGCTAGGCATCCGACATCATTCTTGAGCGTGCCGTCATCCAGGCGGCCTCCAAGAAGGATCACTTCCTGCACACAGCCGTGCTCCAGCACTCTGTTTCCATGCGCCGCGTCCGCAATTTCGCCCTGCATCTGACCCTGGGTCCTCATGGCCTGAAGGCTGCCATGTGAGAGCCTGCGACTTGCTGCCGGCTAAGGCTCGTGTCAAACTCCGCAAGGAAAAGAAACAAAAACAGTGGTGCTTTTTCAGTTTGTTCATTGCGATCGGTATCCGCACACTCAATCTACAAATCCCAGGTACAGCATTCTGGGCAGCTCAGCGTGCCTGAAACGCGGCGCGGGCTTCCCAGCGTGCTCTGGGAAGCTCTTGCCAAGCAAGGTTCTGTAGATCAGTATACCACACATCATTCACCTCAACTGATGTAGCAAGGAACAAGGCAGCCTCAAGATTCATATGAACATCTGAGGAATCCACATAGGCTCTCGCAAGCGAATCCTGACTCGCGTTCTGAACGGCCTCCACACCACCACATACAAACACCAAGCAAGGATACGCCGCCTGAGTTATGATGCCGCCGAACACCAGCAGCCCACGGCCCGCTGCGACAGCGCCAAAGTACGCCCTGGGGCCCCAGGGAGCCGATTGCCTCAGCTCGCATCTCACGAGAAACCACATGTAATGCGAATAAACATCTCAGAATGCGCCAGACAATTGTATGCTGGAAAGCATGCAATTTGCCTCAAGTTTGTCAAAAACAGTCCTCTGACAACCAAACACTTCTATTTCTGTGCTGCCGCAAGCATCCCGGGTTCATCATTCACGTGTCATGACGTAGCGAAGCCCATTCAAGAAAACAGCAAGCGCTTGTGTTTATGCCCTCCAAAAGTCTTGGCCCTTGACTGCACCAAGGTCCAGCTGCTACCTTCATCGTCGCTGCACCAAATATCGCCCAGCCCTCGGAGCACAATTGCACCAGGAACTCTCTGCGACACATCAGTGTGCGAAAGCGCCTACTGACCCCGGGCCGACAGTGGCCCCACTCTCGACTCTCTCTTTTGCTGCAGTTTGTTCCAGAACGTTTCGAAATGATGCTCACAGCTGCCAGCTGCTTGCCATTTCAACCTGTGGGCCCGACGGCCATAAGGCAAGGAACGGAGAGGAGGCAATTCTCCGCTCAACTCAACCTCATGGTCACCGGAGACGAGCATACAAAGAGTCCGCTGGGTCTGTGAATCATGTGGCATGGTGATGCAGTGATGCGCGCCAAGTGCAGAACATGACGAGACAAGTAAGCCTGAACCACGTTGAGCCTCAGAGCCGCAATACAGGCCAGAAAGACATTCTGTGCTGCTGCAATTAGGACCCAAGCATGCCAGTATGGTTTCGCCTCGCATCAGGTGAAAACATGTTTAACTGGTCCGTCCTTTCGACAGTCTTGGAAAAGAAGGGAATAGTCTGAAAATGGTTCGAGTGCCTGCCTCTGACTCTTGGGATCTCGGGCCACAGATCCTTTGCCGCCTGGCGACAGCTAAAGGGCATGAATTCTGCTGACGGGGACGCCTTTGCCGCCCTTCTTCCTGGCCCTCTTGTCCTGCCAACAGGGTTCCAAACTGATGTAAAAGCTCATGGAGCCTCATGGTGCAAAATGTCCTGATTGGACGGAGGGGAGGGACTTTTCTTCTCCTCTTGCCTTATTCGTGCAGGTCAGGGACTTGCTCATCCTGATCCTTTGTAACTAGACTGAGAATCCAAGTGGCGTGGCATTATCGAAGGGATCCACGCCAACGCCGCCCATCAGCCAGAGGCGGACACCGGTTTCAGCAGGGGCTGCCTGAAACGTGTCAAACTTGTCGACCCCTCGCGAAAGTCTGAATTCTCCGCAGGCAGAAGCCAAGGCACGTGCCAAGAGTCTGTGGCCAGCCCGGGGTGCCCATGCAGCCCCAGCAGATCTTAACGTGTCTTGCCTCGGCCATGTAAGGATCGGCCGATCGCCGAAGCAGAAGCGCTGAGGCGCTGACACAATCTCTTTCTCACCAGGTGTCAGCACGGCAAGCTTCTCAAAGAGAAAGGCCCCCTCAGCACCTGCACAACATCATCTCTACCCAATTTGAAAGCGGATGGCCACAACACCTTCATCAGTCGAAAGCTGCGAGGTGCATGAGGAAGACAGGAAGCAACCTCAGATTTTGCATAGCCGACAAAATATTCATGACAATCAAGAGAATAGATGACCTTCACAATTTTGGCTATTCTATCTTTGGTGATAAACCTGATGACCCAAATGTACGCACTGTGCCGGATAAGCAGCTGACCAAATAAAATGTTCACTGCAACTGTCGAATTGCGTTTCATCCAGTGTTGGACTCAAAGCAAGGCAAAGCCAAACAAGGATCGCCATCTCGTTTTGCAAAGAATTCGGTCTTCTGCCTATATTGTTTTTGGCTGTTTTGTGTTGTCTCGCTTATTCAAGGGAAATGTGCTGCTAAGTACAACTGCTGTACGAAAAGTTTGGCAGCTCCAGCTTGCCAATCGCAACCTCTCAGTTCAACTGCAACTTCTGAAGTGCACTTTTGAAAGCCAAACTGTTCAGTACAAGAGTGATACGCACAGTGCACTAGTGCAGTTCCAGCTCAAAATAACAAACTTGACGGAGTGTACAACTAGGTAGTGACTCACGCAGCAAAGCCAGTGTACTCGCTCTGGAGCCATGCTTGTTGTTTTAGTGCCATCACATTGTCCGTTGATTAGCCGGTCGCTCCAGTTGCACATAATGCTGGATGACTGCCTGGTACAGTAGTACTAGATCCTGGTCGATTCTGCAGAGTTGCGGAGAATGAGCATTTCACAATTTCTGCATTCAGGCCAGGCGCGCTGATCAAAGCCCATCCCTCCAGGCTGCCAATGCCAAAACGTTGCTGACCTCACAGGCAGACCCATGGTAGACTGAGTACGCACGTCACATTCCCTCAAAGGAGCTTACTGAGACACCCATCCAAGCGTGCGTTGAGATTCCGAGTCTTGAGTTGATCCAACCTGAAGACAAGCTGCCTGCAGGAGGGGTGTGACAGGCACTTGTCCAAGCACGTCGCCAAAGGCGTGCCCTGCAGAAACATGACATGTGGCCATGGGTCAAATTCCCGTACCCCCAGTGAGCATCTCAATCCCACTAAAATAGACCAAAATGGGTGGTGCCAAAATGCTACCATTGGTTTGACCCACAGCCATGTGGGTAAAGAACAAGTTGCTAGCTGCACGCTGCTTGCCACGATCTGCTAGACATGACACAAAAAAGACTAACACATGCGCTGCCTGCAGATTTCCCAAATCTCGGCGACCTCTACAGCGACGATTGGCCCAAATCGACCTTGGTCCAGCGCTTTTTCTCCACGCGCAGGAGCGCCTTTATTGGGATGCTGGCCAATTGGTTGCGGGCACAAAGTCGACGTGAAATTGCTGTTCGCCTTTCGGCGCCACAGTGTGTGTGTGTGTGTACAAATGTGTACGTCTTCCCTGTCCCCACCTATGGGGAATAACACAACTCCAGTGCGCCGCCTCAATCAAAAACATGGAGCGCAATCGCAAGCCTGTAGATTTGATCCCCTTCTGTGGCCCGGGCTGTGCAGCGCTCAATGCAGCACCCCACGGCTCTCCCGTCCAAACTGGTGGAGCCTGCCAGACACTCTGCTGCGCTGCTTGTTTAGCTCGGTCTCTGCTTTTTTAGGTACATGTTTAACTAAAGCGCAAAAAGCAGCTGCAAAAATCGGTCATTCTTAATAGCATATCCAGAACATAGTCATGTTGATGGCATGCACCGTCGATTGGACATGCATTAAATGTGCCTCACCATAGGATCAAGCCATCGGCGCTGGCCTTGAAGGGGCCTCTTAGTGTCGGCGCTGCTTGAAGCATGTCGGCGAGCTCAAGGACCTTGGCCCAATGCGCCGAAAGCCTATAACTCCCAGTACTAGTTGGGCAAATGGAGAGAACACCATTGGTTTTCATCCTGGTGAAAAGCGTTTCACACCCCAGTGCCTGTTTGTGACAACTACGCGTGCGCAGCTTTTGTCAAGCACATCTTCTGCAAAATGAACCTCCAGCTCCGCGGCACTGCACACCACGTCAGTTTCGTACGACCTGCTGGCCTGCTCAAAAGAACGCCCAACCAGGGCATCCTCCACAAGCACGCCTGCGCGCTCAGGCTCATCCAGCAGCCGGCAACTATGCTGGCAAAAACGGGCCACTGAGTCCGCCCCTCTGACTCACTCCCTCTCACTGACTGACTGACAACTGACCAACTGACTCACTGACTGACTGACTGACTCACTGACTCACTGACTCACTGACTCACTGACTCACTGACTCACTGACTCACTGACTGACTGACTGACTGAGTGACTGACTGACTGACTGACTCGCTCGCTCGCTCGCTCGCTCGCTCGCTCACTCACTCACTCACTCACTCACTCTACAGTATTGCGCTTGCCGCGGAATCTACGCTCCGCACTGTAAAGTATTGCGCGTCAGAATATGAAATTCGAGCGCTCCATTTCAAAGCACTGTGCCTAGAACAAAATCTGCACCTCATGCTCTCAAGTGTGGCGCCCGCCGAGAAATCTCACTTACGACATCGGCAAAAACCTTGCTCAAGTATTGCGCCAGCCAAAGCCGCAGTGGAAGCAGAACACTGCATATGTCCTAATAGGGCTGGACTGTGGATAGGTCAAAACTCCTCATGTGGCTGTGGGTAAAAATCAATGGTACCATTTTGAAGGTAGGTATTTTAGTGGGGATTGGGATGTTCACTGGGGGTACATACGGGCTTTTGACCCATGGCCATGTGGGCCTTGGTCATGCTTCTCTTAATAGGCATCCTTCTCATGGCTGTCTCAACTCTCTACTATAGGGTTTATGACCATCCCTAATACCGCCAAGTAAAGGGGTCTTTCGACCACGGCACACGTGTTGCTCAACTTGAAGCTCGCCAAACAGCCACTTGCACGACAGGAGCAGCGACAATGACGCCCGAGCGAGAAACTGTCATTCCAAGCAAAACACGTCAACCTCAACACCCTGGAGCGCAAGCGGGCGCATCGTGCGGATCGCCGAACACGTCCTTATCCCCAACCCCCCAAACCCACTTGATAATGGGAACCCCTCGCTACGCATTGGCAAAAACGGCAGGCTGGCAATTGGGGCCAGCCAGGCAAAACCGAACTGGTGGTGCTGTACAAACGCTCTTGCTCAAAGCACTGTCTTCACTCTGCCCTCCTGAAGCAGTTTGCCCCACTTAGTAAACGTAATGAATCCAACGGCAAGAGCTGCTTTTATTTCAATCTGAGGACGCCGCTGCTCGCTTCAGAGGACCTTCGGCCAGGCCTTTTCACGCTAAATCCACTGCCCCAACGCCTTGCCCCCATGCCCCCACCTGTCACCTGCCCAGGTGCAGGCACTGAGGCGGCCTGCCCGACCCCGGCACACAGTTTTACACGGACAGCCACGTCCCCCCGCCTCAGCTTCTGCCTGCAGCAAAACGGCCAGCGCGACCGCTTGCGGGCAGTGGCTCATCAAGAAGCGCCGATGATCCTGCCGTGACTGCCCTTCAACCTCTCCAGAGCTTGTTCACAGTGTTTGAACCATGCTCGTGTCCTGCCCCGAGAAGAAGCCCACCAGCTGGGCAGGGCAAGAGTAAAGCAAGCAGCGAGTGTTTCTCTTACTCCCGCATTCATGTCGAATAGCATGCAAGTCTCCCAACATGAAGCATGCTCAAATGCCTCCTGCACCTGCATTGGAATTTCTGAAAGGTTCTGCGGAAGGTTCTCTGCAGCCTTCCGTTGGGCAACTTGGACAAAGGCTTTGCCACAAGCCAACCAGCCTCTCGCAACAACTCGGCCAGTGGAATCCCGTCGGCTTCAATGCGCGAGCAGTCATCCTTGCCTGCAAGTTGGTGCCAACAGGTCGTAAAGAGTCAGGATCTCCCTGCCTAACTCCTTGCGATCGGCTTGTCCAATGCCCCCGCCAAAAGTGCCGTAGGGACTGCCAAAATCATCGTCATAGCTACCTCCTGGGCTTGCTGACGCCGGAGCACCGCAACATTCAATTCCTCGGAGAGCGTGCCTCTCTTGTAGTCTCCGAAGCCACTGTATCCGCCCATGTATCCACCCGTGTATCCATACCTGATTCGGATTCATTGGCGCATGCCAGAAGTGAATTGTTGGGGCACTCGTCACGGAAGCTATCAAAGTAGTCCCCCAGAGTGGCAGCTCTGACAAGGAACCAACCTCAGGCTTCCGCTCTCACCAACAACAAAGTAGAGCTTGCTCAGGCCGCTACAGCCTGCCACACGGCACCATGGCATCAGCATCTTTTCATCATGGCATCACCATGATAAGCGTTCAAAATTTGACATGCCGTGTTTAAGACTGGCTGAAAGACTGCAACACCCGTTGTATCTCGAAAGTGTATGCACACGTCGCCTAGGCTGCTTCGTTCAATGGGTGCAGTTGCTGATATGCATATCACGACTGTCAATCGGCCAAGCATGTGTTCAAAAGCGATAACTGTGTTGATACCACGTCTCTCAACCCCTTTTCTCTCAAGCCTTGTGTTGGGATTCCATGGGTTACAAGCCAAGCAAGGGCTGCGGGCAGTGCATCTCGTCCTTTCCAGCTCGTGTGTGCTCTCCGCCGTGAATCCTACGCTGCTTCGCTTGCTTCAATCATCCGGCTGATTCTGCATCTCCAGCATGCTGCCGGTCTAAGCAGCAGAAAGCGTGAGGGTACATTGACTCGCAGAGATCTGCTCAAGCTCTTTGTACAGAACGGACCACTGCTATTCCTTGCTTGGCGCAGTGGCCATGGATGCAATCACTGATGACCTTCAAAAGTGGCGGAGCACTCAAAGGAAGAGTTCCCCATGGCATGCTGGTCAGTTCTCGGCAAGCCCGGGAAGGCCTGAGGATCTGGAAGACTGCACTGGTGATCTCCTGGAAGTCTGCCTCAGGTGAAATAAAGAAAAAGAGAACGAATGCTGCATACAGAAATGAAGGGCCTCCGATTTCAGCTCCAGCCCCGAGAGTCCTCACACATCCAGGGTATGAGCAAAGGCTGCATGGACAGAGCTATCTACATTCGCAAACATTCGATGGCGAATAAGTTCGCAACCTTGTATGCAAAGATCCTCACAATGGCTGTGGTTGACAGGCTGGCAGCTTGGCAATAAATGTGGCGATAGCATGAGAAAACCAAAGAAACTCACAATGCCCACCCTGCCCACCTGCGCCCCTTCGCGTTGCAGGAGCTTGCCCAGTGCAGTGGCCTGGTGATTCCGGTTGGAAATTCCGCGCCATGCGCGCTATGCGGGCCTGGAGAAACGTGCGGACATCGACTTCACTGTCGTTTGCCTGAGCGCATGGCCAGGCTGCCAGGCTGCCACGGCCCTTTGGAACTTAGAACTTGGTCCAGGACGCCGCCCTCTGCGAAGATTCCCCAGAGCTCCTGAGAGCACAATGCCGCTCAGGTGCAAGGCAGAAAGCTCTCAGCTCTCTCATCGCATCCTCTTCCAACAGGATCTCCCTTCGCAAGCGCACGGAGTCGAAAAGCGCTGCGTAATCCAGATACCTCGCGTTCAGTGCAATCACACGATGAATCTGTCCCCACCCCATGAGCATGACGCTGCGATGTGTGCGCACGACTCGCCGGCATGCTTCAAATACCGGGCAAAGCAAGAGCTTATCACCTTGTGTGGCAATTGCAGATCTGGCTCAGTTCAGGAACCTGGAACAAGCGATCTCAGTGGCGAACATCCGCAATATCAGAATGCCCAGATCCCTGCAGCACCTGTGCAACAAATGAAAGAAACAGGTCTTTGCTTGCTGGCAAAAGTTACCATGTTCAACAGACATGATCCATTTTGCCTGCCTGTCGCAAATCAGCTGAAGTGAGAAAGCCAGTGTTTGCCCTGTCTGCTCGGTGACACCTTGGCAATGCAGTCCAACCTTTCAGGTATGTCCTGCAATGTTTATTTTCTGCTGGTCAGTGCAAAGGACTTTGAATCTAATTAGAGAGAGGTTGCGCTCCCTCCACAGGCCCCTAAGCTTCCCTGCTCCTGCTGAAGCTCTATCGTGGCCCTGTACATGAGCTTGGAAGCTAAGCCGTTGCCCACAGTTGCCTGGCCCGAAACAACCTCAGAAAGCTCAACCCGTACTCCGCCGAGCCCTTGCACGCAGGCGATTGGATCACTGGAGCGAAGCGACCCAGAGGTAAGTGTATACAAGGTAGTACTTGAGACCCCCGCCCGCCGATGAGAAAAGAATGCTTGCTTTTTTTTTGAATCGTTGAGTTCAGAGCGCGTGCTGCTGTTCTTCTGGGCGTGTAAAACAGCCGAGTTGTGAAAGAACTGGGCTGTATTGAACAAAGCTCTACATCGGGAGCATTCCACTCTGTGCTGGTGTGTTTTGGGGGCTGGTGCTTGGCTTGAGCGCAGTCGTTGCCAGCATTACCAGTCTGCATTGCCAGCATCACATGTTCAGCACACGCCAACTTGCTCGCTCATTGCCCGCATCGCTTGTTTGCTTCGCCTGCCCGTTAGCAAGGGGGAGCGGAGCAACAGGTTTTGAGCCAGGAAGGCCCGCAGCCCCGCAGGCGGGACTTGCGGTAGCAGTTAAATCCGCCGACCCCTCGCCAAAGAGGGGAGGCGCACGGGAAGGGTGGCTGCCACACGAGCAGAACCGAAGATTCATCATCAGCATCATCATCGTCTTGATGCTCATCATCATCCTCATGATCATCATCATGGTCATCATCAGACTAGGTTGATCCTGCCAGCAGCCTGTCTCGTTGCCCGTATCTTTCTGACATACGTGTTGGTGATGCTGCATAGATGTTAGATCTCACGGTAGGCACCGTCAGCATCATCAGCATCATCATCATCATCATCATAATCATCATCATCATCATCATCATCATCATCATCATCATCATCATCATGGTCATCATCATGATGATCATCATGATGGTGAGGTTGATCCTGCCAGTAGCTTGTCTCGTCTTTCAAGCTAAGGAGCCGTGGCACGTCGCAAACTCAGCCGTCTACAAGGCCATGGCCGAAGTGGCGATTGAAACTGCAGGGAAGAAACATCCGCTGAAACAGACACTGAAGAAGCGATCCTGTGCAAGTACAAATGATGCACGGTCACGGTAGAAGTGATCCTGTGCAAGTACAGCCAATGTACAGGGCCTCGGTGATGCTGGGGGTGCGTAGTCATGATTATCATCATGACTGCTGGTGACACTGGGGATGCACAGTGATGATGATGACAGCCCTGCATCTCAAGGATGATGTCTAACGGCACTCTTAAAACGTAAATCAAAAAGATGATGATGATGATGAGCACCATGAGGATGATGATGATGATGATGACAGCCATGATGACAGTCATCACTACTTATTTCCAGCATCACCAGCATCTCCAGCCCTGCTTAACGGTAGCGAGTGGTGATGATCATCATCCGCATCATCATCCTGGTTATCATCCATCATCATCATCATCATCATCATCATCATCATCATCATTGTCATCATGCTCGAGTGCTCCTCATCATCATCGTATGCTGGGGATGCATACATCATGGCTGGAATCATCATCATCATCCTCATCATCCTCATCATCCTCATTATCATCCGTCATCTCGCCCTTGTCTTTTTGAGTGTGCCGTTAGACCCGACTTCATCCGCATCATCCTCATCATTATCATGCATCATCTTCAAGTGTTCCATTAGACCCCACTTGAGACGCGTAGTCATGATTATCATCATGGCTGCTGGTGATGCTGGGGATGCATAGTGACGATTATCATCATGGCTGTCAATCATCCATCATCATCATCGTCTTCTCATCAGCTTCCTGCTTATCTTTCTGATATACGTTTCAGGTGCCCCGTTAGACCCGGATGCGTGGCCATGATTCTCGTCGTGAGTGCTGGTGATGCTGGGGATGCATGGTGATGATTATCATCATGGCTGTCATCATTCCATCATTCTCATCAGCGTTATCATCATCATCAGCGAGTGTCGTGCTTATCTTTTTGATATACGTTTCAAGTGTCCCGTTAAACCTGACTTGAGATGCAAAGGATGCGTAGTCATGAGTATCATCATGACTGCTGGTGATGGGGATGCGAAGTGATGATGATCATCATGGCTGCCATCATCATCATCACCATCATCCTCATTATCATCCATCATCATCATCATCCTCATGGTGCTCAGCATCATCATCATCCCCACTATCATCCATCATCGTCATCATCATCCTCATCATCCTCCTGATTATCATCCATCCTCATCCTTTATCATCATCATCATCATCAGCAACATCATCATAGACAGCGCTGCGGGATGTTGGTGCCCAGTCATCATCATCCTGCATCATCCTGCATCATCCTCATCAGCATCAACATCCATCATCATCAGCAGCATCATCATCATCATCTGCATCATCATCATTGTCACCATGATCCCATCATCTATCTGCGCCAGATCCTTCTTGGGTTTTGCCCATACAGGATCCTGCGCGCGCGACAATTTTGTCCACGCAGGTCCATCATCATCATCATCATCATCAGCATCATCATCATCATCATCATCATCATCATCCATCATCATCTTCTTCTTTGTCGTCATCGTCATCATCAACATCGTCTGGGCTAGCGGGTCCGCAGGACTGCAAACTAGGCAGCTTCAAAGAGAGGGTGTTGTGTTGAGGTAGAATCCATCTCACTTCAGCCATCTGGGTTCGGCGGCACTGGGCGGCAGCACTTAAATCCGGCTACGCCTCCTGGGGTAGCATGTTGCCGCTAGGCAGTTCGCCTGCTAGCTTCAGCTATAGGGGCTGCACCCGCGCGCCGCCGACCCTCGTCACTTGGTCGTGATGCGTTGCGGCACCTCTGCATCACCAGCTCGGGCTTGCGGTTTTGCTTGCCTGTGGGAAACCCTCGCAAAACATCGCGTATATGCAGGGTTTAGGCCATGTGGCTGACATCATCAGGGTCTGGGGTTGGGCCTAAGTATGCTTCATGAGCGGTGGGCTGTTGCTCTGTCCGTTTTGCTTTTGCTGTGGCTGGCTCGCGTGCTGCGCGGTCCTTGCTTTTTTCCCGTTGGTTTTCGGGCCTTCTGGCGCGCGCGCGACCCCAGCCACAAAACGCTGCTATTTACGGTGTTTTGTTGCATTTGCGTTTCCGGGCTGGCTTGCGGGCTGCTCTTTTTGGGCTGGTCTTTCTGGGGCCTCTGTCGCGCGCGCGCGACCCCATGTCAGCCTTCTGGGTTGGGGCCCGGCTGGGGCCCAGAAAGCTGGCATCCCCGGCATCATCTAGGGTTGGTGGGGTGGGTAACATGCATAACCTAACCAGCCATATCATAGCACAGGATACGTTTCTCATACAAAAAACATGACATGACATGGTATATCTTCAAAGAGGCGTAGCCGGCTAGAGGCCGCAGGCCCAGAAAATTAAATGACAAAATGCCTGGTGTGCGTCTCTTCATGTTTGTTGGACAAGAAACAACTCTGAGAAATGCAACTTCTTGCTGCGGCCTCAATGATAGAGGTCCGATAGAAGCGGCGCAGATTCAAAGCCTGGGACATGGAACATGTGTCTTGTCGGATTGCAAAAAAGAAGCTGGACGCTCTCGCAACCGTCAGCCAGGCGAAAGCCGCAACACGTACACCATTTGTAAGGGTGCGGATTTATTTTGGAAAAAAAAATCGGATTCTTTTTTTTCCCGTTTTTCATCCGGGCCAGTAAATGTTGTATTTTACAGCATTTGTTCTCGCGAAATTGACGCATTTTACACTTGCCTGTCAACATCCCCAGCATTGTTTTCAACATCCCCTGCATGTACGACCAACATCACTAGCATCACCAACAAATCGTGGGTAACAAAATCAAAAAAGTAGCTGGCGGGTTGACGGGGTCAAAAACATGATGATTCAAATAGGAGGGCATTTCAATCCCTGTAAAAACATCTAAAAAGTAGCGGGGGGGTTTGGGGGGGGGCTGCCGCCCCCATGATGTTGGCAGAAGTGATGATTCGAATAGGGGTGCAATTAAATCTCTGTTGAAAATCTACAACATAGCAGGGGGGTTGGGGGGGGGGGGGGCGGCAATGATGTCGGAAGAAGTGATGATTCAAGTAGGGGTGCAATGATTCAAGAAAGGGTGCGATAGAATTTAAAGGGCAGCGGGAGGGTTGGCAGGGGTCCCCTATGATGTTCGAAGAAATGCACACATACAGACATACGTGATGAATCAAATAGAAACGATTCAATCTCTGAAAGAAATCTAAAAAGTAACGGGGGGTAGGCGGCAACCCCCCCCCAATGATGTCGGAAGAAGTGATGATTCAAACAGGGGTGCAATTAGCGGGTGGGTTGGGTCCCCCCCCATGATTCAAATAGGGAGGAACTGGTGATGCTGATGATGCGGGAAGCCAAATCCAACAACCAATGAAAGGGAGCCCGGAGAGGAACTGGGAAAGCAGAGGATGCGAAAAGCCAAAGCCTCCAAAAGCCTAAACCAGCGAAAAGCCGCAAAAGCCGAAGAGGAACTGGGAATGCAAAGCCAAAAAGCCAAGAAGCCAAGAAGCCGAAAAGCCAAGAAGCCAAGAAGCCAAAAAGCCAAGAAGCCAAGAAGCCAAAATCGAAAACAAAAATGAAAAAAAGGAGGAAAACAAAAACTAAAATGAATACCCTTCCTTTGTAAATACATATATGAACCAAGGGAGAGAGCTGTCTGCCAGTCAAGTGGCAAACGATGGCAGCATTGGTCCTGAGGGGGATGTGTCTGCCAGTCGAAGAATCCACGGATGCTGCAAAGCCTGCCACTCTGCCAAAGCAGCAAAGCGGTCAGAAATTTGCTTTGAAGCATCATGCGCTCCTCCTCCACTTTCAGTCGTTGGCCAGGAACACCGTGCATGCACTTCTGCACAAAATCCTGCAGGTCTTTCATGCTTGCAAGTTAAAGCTCGCTCTCGAACACTCCTTCGCCTCTTCTGAGATCTTTGACCAGAAGGGCGGATCCTATCACCGCAACCATGCAAGCATGCCGTGTCACTAGCTTGGAATTGAACAACCCACCCAGCTGGGCCCAATGCAAAGGAGAAGTCGATCTTCTCTACCCGCGCAATGATCGCCTGTCTGATCGGCGAAAAAAATGGAGGGTACCTGGCGAAAGGGTGTCGACTGTATGCCACTGGCAAGCGTCTCAGGGCACCCGCAAAGCAGCAGAAATGCAATGGCACCCACCTGAGTCACGATACAAGTCATCTGAGTCCCACTCCATATGCTCTCCTCTCACATTGTGCTGCCAACAGCTAAGGAGTCGGCACTCCACACATCTGACGGGAAGTCAATGCCTAGGTCCTGAGTCGACTCTGCGCTGACTCTGATCTTCTTTCGCTGCCTTTCTTCCCTTATCCTTCGTCCTTCTTTCTGGCTGTCTTCCGTCTTTCCGTCTATCTGACTGTAATTCTTTCTTTCTTCCTTCCTTCCTTCCTTGCTTTCTTTCCGTCTTCCTTGCCGTCCTATTTCTTTCTGTTTTTACTTAGTTAATTACTCATTGCTTATTCCTTTATTTCTCTCCCTCGCTCTGTGGCTCTCTCTCTCTCTCTCGCTCTCTCGCTCTGTCTGGTTGACTTCGACGCTGCATTTCCGGCCCACTGGCCCAGGCCTGGCTCCGCTCGAGGTGGGTATCTATGGCCTGCGCAGCAACGCTTTTGCCGCTTGGGACCCTACACAGAGATTGGCCTCAGACAGCAGCTGCAGGTCCAGCATGTTCCTCAGAGCTCTTTGGCTTCCAGAATATTTCTGTACCCGGAGTTGTCCCTCACTGCCAAGCGGCGACACTTTGCCTGGCACTGCAGCCACTACCAGACCACTGCTGCAACCCATCCACGGCGCGCCTGTCTTCACCCCCTTCAGCAAGGGCGCAAGATCAGGTTGCCGCTCAGCTGCCGCCCCAGCCTTCAAGCCAGCTCGGGCCATGCACGGCTTTCAGATTCATCATGCCTTCAGCTGCTTGAAGACTTCCGGCGCACAAAAGACCGTGCGGCATGCCTGTCAAGGGCCGCTTTCTGGGGTGCCTGTTGGTGACACACCGCGGCGTTTGAGAACGTCGATCTTTAGGAGCTGATCCGTGTGAGGAGCCTAGTAGTGGCAAGACTGGGGGGACCTTTCCTGCAGTTCCACCTACTTTGTCGAGCAAGGAATTCTTGCGGGCTGCTTCGAGCACCTTCCCACATCGCTTACCACGATGGAACGCGCCGGTTCTGCCTCGAATAATTGTGGGCAGCTGCTGCGGGGCCAGTGGCGAGCAGCCTCAAAAGCTCGAGGCTTGCAACATGGCAGATTGGCAGAATCCACGACAAAAAGTGTATCTATCTGCGTTTATATGTATATATATATATATATCCTCCCCCCCCCCCACGATGGCTCTACCTTTGGCTGTTTGAAGGCTATTTCGGAGATGGAATGCAGTTGATTTATTTGGAGTGCCCCATGCGACTTGACCAGCATCAGCTCACCCGAAGCAAGCAAACTCCGTTCAAAATCTAACTTGGAGTAACAATTCCAATTGTGTGTTTTTGTTGCAAAGGACGTCCTATTTAGACTATCGTCAAAGTCAGAAATTCCTCTAGCATTATTTCCTTATTAGATTACTTTAAATTCTAAATAGAAAGTGGAGAAACAATTTCCCGGGAAAGGACGTTCTCTGTACAATATATTCTGAAGTAAGAATCCCAATTAACAATGATCTTCAAAATGGAAATCCCATTCAAATCATCTTTGTTTCAGTCTAGAAAATATATTACGCGTTGTTCACGCTTAATTTCTAGTTAAATTCTAATTGGAAAACTGCACAAATCATCTTGGAAAAAGGCATCCCTTGAACATCCAAGTTTAAATAAGAGTTGCAATCATAAAAACAGTCTTTTAGGAACACCTTTGCAAAATATATTTAAAACTAGAAAGTCTGACAGAATATGTGTTTATTAAATTCTATTGACACTAATGTTGACCTCATATTTAGAAACCCCCGCGTATTTGCACAATCCGGCTTGGCCCAGGAAATCCAAAAAAAGGCTCAGCTCCTAGTGCGTGACTGAAAGCGAAACAGGCCAGGCCCTGCGATTTACCCAGCCACAAAAAGTCGTATTGAACGAAGGCGCTGACCAACAGCCAGGTAAGGAATCTCCGGGATCCGCCGGAAGCTTCTAATTCCAGGCCCCCCTCCGTACGACCTGAGGGGGGGGGGGGGGCGTTTCTAAATATGAGGTGGACATTATGCCCACAAAAAACAACCCGTTTGAACATCTAGTTTCAAATAAGAATGTTGATTACGACCAGGGAATCCTATTTGAGTTATCTTTAAACTAGAAAGAGTGAGTGAGAGAGAGAGAGAGAGCGAGGAGCAACCTGCAGCACGCCGCGACCTACCCCTTTCTTCCCTCCCGGCATCTCAGGGTGACAAAAGCCACCCTCCACTTGTATCTTTAAACTAGAAACTCTTACTGGGGTTTGTTCCTTATTCAACTCCATTTCAATTCTAATTAGACAATTGAACAAACACAATCCTAGAAAAAGATCCCCCTGTAAAATGATCTTTCAAAGTTATTTGGAGACAAGATTGACCTGTCTTATTTCTTAATCTCATCGAATACTTTGAATTCCAAGCAAAAAACAATACAACACAGTGAGTTTATTTGAAGAAACTCCTTGAGCAAACATCTGCGAGAAATAAGTCCGATTCCTGCAAACGCGAGTCCATACACCCAAAGTCCTACACCCTAAACCTGTCCATTCTAAGCTGAGGTTTGGTCAGAAGGTGCAAAACAGCAGCTATGTTGGAGCCAATGGGCCCAAAATGAAAACTAAAAACAAATATAGCTAATAGCCCAAAAGTAAAGTGTACAGTTCTGGAGCCAATGACCCAAAAGTAAGAAAGTAAAACAATTCTGGAGCCAATGACTCACAAGTCAAAAGAGCAAGTTTCTGGAGCCAGAGACCCAAAAGAAAAAGAAGTAGACAAGTAACAGTACATGTCTGGAGCCCAAAGTACAAAAACAAAAAAGGACGAAGAAAACAATAAATAAAACGTTAAAAAGAAACAAAAAGTAAAAACGTAAAAAGTACGAAAGGAAAAAAGTCAAACAATTCAGCCCATGGTCCTGAAGTAACATGCTTTCACCATGGACTGAAACAGGTTGTTTGTTTTTACTGTTCTCTTTTTTACTTTTTTACTTTTTGAACTTTGGGTCATTGGCTCCAGAATGTTACCATTTTACGTTTTTACTTTTTGGCTTGTTTTACTGTTTATTTTTTACTTTTCTACTTTTTGAACTTTGGGTCATTGGCTCCAGATTTTTACAATTTTCCTTTTAATGTTTGGTCATTGGCTCCAGATTTTTGCTTTTCTACTTGTTTACTTTTGGGTCATTCTTTACGTTTTCACTTTTGGGCCAATGGCTCCAACATAGCTATTGTTTTGCATTGTCTGACAAAACCTCAGAATAGAAATAGGACAGAGGTATATTCAAACTGGATTCAAGATTCCCTGGGAAAGTTTGGCCTAAAGCTTTCAGATTGTCTTTGGACATGCACCCTTTTTGCTGCTTTCCCCATAGTCCCAAAGAAAGGCCGAAAACACCGCACATAACAGTGATTTCCAAAGGAAGGGAGATCGACGGGGGGGTACCTATATATATAGAAAAAACATGTACATATATATTGAAGGAACCAACATTGTGGCAGAATGTTCGGTATTTACGATGCACTTGGTTCTTTGTCCACAACTGTTGTTCCTTCTAAATTATGGCCCTTAAACAGCTTGTTCCGATGCTTGATGGAAACTTGCACTGACCACCTTTTAAGACAACAAGGATGCGGCCTGCTCAGGGACGTTGGGCTTAGTCATGGATGTTGTTTGCTTTGCAAAGGTGGCTCACGCTTTGGTGGCCTGCCGAAAGGTGTGCTTTCACGCCTTGTCATGTCCCATCATGTCAGAAAAAGGTAGCTGTTGCAACTTGTGCCAATGTGTGTGTGTGTGTGTCCAAACTTTTGCGCGTCAAATGTTCCCAAAATGTGGAGATGTGATGGCTCTTCACGAATTTATAGCTCAAATTGCAATCCTGTCCTTTCTCTTTCTCTCTCTGTTGCTGGTCAACAAACACGCTGCCTGCAACTCCCCACCCCAGCACCCTCGCATCCCCCCGCCTGGCCCTGGCAGGCCAGCTGCTCATGGCCGGACTCTGGGGACCACTCCAGCAAGCACGCCTCAAACAGCGGCGTGCTGTTGGCGTTTGGAATGAAGCCCACTTGCCAGAGCCAGAAGCGTGACGTCCGCAACCAAAGGATGCGAAGCCTTTCTGGTTCTCACTTCCAAGATGTTTAGTCTGCTTTCCTTGCCTCGCACGAGATTGGCCTCCACCTGATTCAGCTTCCTGTTGTCCTCTTTTCCTTCTTACTTCTCCCCCGGCCCCCCAGCCCAGACAACGAAAATTCCCTTGCCAGGCCTTCAATTCCAGCCCAAAGTCCACTAGCTTCAGTGGGGCCTGGGCCTGATCGGTGTGAAACCTCGGCCGCTAACAAATTAAGATCTGCGGCAATACGAGAGACAAACAAGCGTGTTGCCCTTGCCTGAAGGAGTCTGGCGACAAATGACCGTGGTAAAGACCCGCTCTGTGCAAGGCTTGCACCGCCTGATCATGCCATCGCAGCTCGGTTGGATAGAGTCTGCTGTGCTGTTTGTTCACGGTTGTATGGTACAAGTGTTCGATTCTCGCGCCTGCAACATATGCCTGACAAGCATTGCAGACTCCTGCTCCGCAAAGAAATGCCGCTGTAAGATGCGGTCCTGCCTCAGCGACGACAAAGCATCATGCAAATCAGACGCGTTCAAGTTTCCAAGTTGTGGACAGCGTCCCGCCGCTACAATGCTCCATAACCTTGGCCGATACAATGATCCCAGTGGCCATCATGTGCATAGTTGCCCCGGCCATGGCTATAGCCCGGGAATCCTCAAATACTTCCAGAATCCTGCGCACAGAAATCAACTGAAGGATGATAAATATATATATATATATATTATGTATACACCGTGCAAGCAATTGAGTCCTGGCGATTCCTTCACACGTTTGAGCTTGAAGCCTTGCAACCTGCATCCTGTGCCCCCAAGTTCATGACGAGGTTTGTGGATGCAAGCTTCTCACTATGCAAAAAGAAATCACCGCGGTTCAACCTTGCCTCAGCCTCTCCTGGCAGTCTTTGCCAGTAGGCTTGCGGCACAGGTGCAGGCGCCGTACCTTCTTGGGGTGGCAAGGAATGTGACAAGGCCGCTGAGGTGTTTGCTTTGGGGCACCTCTCCCCTGTTGCCTCTCACAAGGCGGGTCGAGGGCAGGTCCTGCGCTGCGGACTATATCCAAAATCACTCCCACACCGGACAGTCCCGCCTGCGGAAGAGGCGCTTCAAGTTCGAACTTCTCATACATTGATGACATTGGCCTGTTGCCGAAGTTGACATTGCACTTTCGTGCGCCCGTCTGTGGAAACTTGCCCCGATCCAGCCGCGCCCGAAGCTTCCAACGTTGTCGATGTTTGCAACAGGAAGGTCGGCCTGGGATGGTGGAGCAACATTTGGATGCAAAATGAAGATGAAGATGTGGCACTTGCTGGGAGCGCCACATGTTGAGGGCTGCAAGAACTACCTCGGAACCCGAAGCTTTGGGAGGAAGCAAAGCTTTGGACGTATCAGCTGCTCAGGCAAGGACTCCTGAAGCTGAGCTTCGCCAGGCCTTCAATCTCGTTGGATGTGACCAGGCGAAGCCTGCAAAACCGTCTGACGTCGTCTGACCGTCTCCATGAACAAACTGAGGACAAACTCGTCCGTCTAAGCCCGAAGCACCACATCGTCGCCAGGAGAGCAGAATTGCTGGCCCATGGCTCATCCATGTGATGATGGCATTACGAAGGATTCTCCCAGCATTCATCAGATTAGCTGAAGATCAGGTTCGGTGATCGACAACTGTCGAGAAAGGCCCTCGCCCTCCCTCCCTCTCTCGCTCTCTCTCTCTCTCTCTCTCTTTCTTGATCTAGCCATGTCAAGACACATACCCCCGCTGGGAAGCAGCTCTTGACGCAAATAACAGCAGTACACATAACTACTTTCTGGGGAAAGAGCTGCTTGTTCCCCGAGGTACGTCGGGGCTCAGTGCTTGAAGGATAACAACTGGAAGGCTTGCTATTCGCGCGCGTGCCTTGAAGGAAGCCCGGAGTGAATGCAAACTTCAAATCTGAACATCGCTGAAGGTCTGCCTTGCCCACCTTCCACTCGTTCCACACTCGCAACCCCATTGTCAGCCGAAGTGTCCTTCCTCTGACGCCAATTGCATTCCATTTGGGATGCCAAACATCCCGTCCAGTCGGACAGGAGATCTACAAACTCAGCCCTCCTCTTCACTGGAAGCAGCTCGAGTCTTACTGAATCTCTCCTCAAGTCATCATGTGCGGCGCGGGACGGAAGCACTTCATCCAAGCCCGTTGCATTGTCCAAGTCTTTGCCCTTGCCCTTCGAAGAGCCGAGCTGATGGCGGCGGCCCCTTCATTTCATGGCACCAATCGACATGAAAGCTGCAACCGTGACCCTGCCAAAGTTCAGAATTGTAGATGATATTGCTGTGCTAGTGGCAGCAACCTACTGCCCTGCCTGTGGCTGGCGTCGCGACATGGGCGCAGGGACTCCATATCCACCTGGACAGTCTGGACATGCTACCAGCACCAGCAAGGTTGAGGCGGTAGCCCAAAGTGCGTTGAAGCCCACTTGAGAACAACAAGTGGGAAAAATCAGTTTGCACAGATTTTGCGCTTCCTGCCATGACTCCACGATTTGCCGTGCAATGCTGGATGGCACCTTGTCCAGATGGCTGCTGATAGAAAGGCTCTTCCTCAGACGTCAGCAAGCAACGAGTCAACTCTAAAGGAAGCTTCTATTTCTGCCGTGCAAACCCTCAATTCGCAGTGATGTCAGTCGGCTTGGCGATGCTTCGCCGCGACCATTGCCGGCAGGGCTTGGCCCAGAAAAGCTATCCTTTACAATTTGGCTGCACGTCAAAAGCGCAACTGTGAACAAACAGTAATTTTTGAATGCATCAAGCAACCGGTGGTAGTCGCTGATCGCGAAGCATTTCTAGATCATCAAGCATTGCAGCATGCCTCATCCCGATGCTGCAAAGCTGTCAAGCACCACTGATGCGCATGGTCCGCGAATTCGTTTGAGCAAGGTGTGCCCGCCATGGCCTCTGCAACTCCCTCAGCACGTCAGATGAGAAGTCGCTTCGTGCCAACGCAAGCAGCTGCCGCACCGTCGCTTCCAGCTGCACGCCCTGGACAGAGACATCTTCGTGGCGGAGCTTCAGCGCCGCGTCAACCTGGGAGACCATCGTCTCCGCTCGGTGAACCACCTCTTTGGGGAGGCAGGACAAGGCCACCTTCAGGCCGTAGCGGCTCTTGCCCTTCTGCAAGGCTCTCAGAGCGCTAATATGCTGGACCGAGAACCGGCGCACCCCCTCGCAGTCCTCCACTTCCAAGTGCATATTGCGAAAGCTGCCTTGTAGCCCGCAGAGTTCGAAGAAGTGCGTGGCAAAAAGACACCGCACTTTCAGCTCCAGCAGCTTCTCGCAGAAGGCCCAGCAAATGGCCAGCCCATCAGCATAAGCCGTTCCTCTTCCCAACTCATCAATGAGCACCAAGCTGCCTTGGTCAGCACCGTGCAGGATGTGAGATGCCTCCTGCATCTCCATGAGAAACGAAGACGCACTTGCTTCTATGCTGTCACTGGTGCCCATGCGAGTGAACAAGGAATGGATCACCCTCAAAGTCGCAGAGCGGGCTGGGATGAAGCTTCCGACCTGTGCTAGAATGACGAGCTGCGCCAGCGTCTGCAAGTATGTGGACTTGCCTCCCCCATTGTGGCCCGTGATGATCTGGAAGTTGCTGGACTCGCTCAAGTTGCAGTCGCTGGCAAGAAAGAAGTCCATGGGCTGGAAGTGCTGTCCGACCTCCTGCAGCGCCCGCTCCATTGTGGGATGGCGTCCCGCCTCGACGGCGACGGGCCCGTCCTCCGCCAACTCGGGCCGCACGGCTCCCGACATCTTCGCGTAGGCGGCCAGAGCCGCCAGGAGGTCCAGCGCGCTCACGGCCTGGGCGGCGGCATGGAGCCGGGGGGCCTCGGCCCGAAGGCGCTCGAAGAGCCCGGCCAAGACCTCCACATTTCGCCGCAGGATCTCACCCTCCGCCTGGCGCAGCTTGAAGTTCTCGCTGTTCAGCTCCCGAGTGCTACTACAAAACCGGCCTCCCCGCGGCATCGTCTGCAGCAGCTCAGGTGCACCCCCAAGGTGCGAAAGGTACCAGCCTTTCTTCTCAGCGAACTCGAGGCGGATGTTCAGATCTGGATACTTCACTGCCAGTGTGCGGTGCAAGGAGTGGATCTGCTCCAGTGATTCGGTCCATGTCTGCCTGGCCACGTCCAGCAATGCATTCACCTTGGGCTTCACTGCGTACATCAGCGCCGCATGCGCCATGGAGCCCCGCCCGGGCGGAGTGCTATCCAGCACGCGGTCCAGCTCCTGCAGCAAATCGAAGCCCAGCAGCGCCTTCTGCAGCTCACGCAGAGCCTCCGCCTCCGCCAGGGTCTCTGCAAGCAGCGGCAGAGCGGCCAAGGCATGGCGGAGCCGCAGCGCCGTGCGCACCGCGGCCTTGCACCACAGCAGCCCACGGTGCCGGGGCTCCGCGGTAAGCCGCACCACCAGCAGGTCGAGGTCAGCCAGGGCCGGCAGCAGCTGCTGCACGCGCTCGAGCGTCTCTTTGGAATCCCGCAACGCCTCCACCGCATCCTGGCGGCGCCGGATTTCGCTGAGTCGCGCAGAGGGCTGCAGCAGCGACTGCCGGAGTAGCTGAGTGCCACCTGAAGTGCGACACGCAAAGAGTCCCACCACAGTCCTCTTGGACGAGTGCACGAGCTCCAGGAGCCTTGCTGTGGAACTGTCCACAACGCAAATGTCAGCTGCCGCCCTGAAGGTGACATGGGTTGCAGCCATGCGCAGCTGCAGCTGGCTCTCCAAGTACCGCCGCAGTGCTGCCAGGGCTGCGGCCGCAGCGAACTTCGCCCCAAAGTCCGCCGGCGCCAGGCCCCGCACTGCAGCCTCCTCCAGCAGGCTCTGCCCGTCGGCCTCATCGAAATGGCGCCGCTCAAGAAATACCGGCGGTGCTGACAACTCCTTCTCCAGCAGCTGCAGCAGCCGCGTGCCTCTAGCTGTCCGGCTGACCAGCACATCAGCAGGCTCAGCAGCTAGCACTGCGGAAATTGTCCGACTGTAGCATGCTGAGTCACTGAACTGGGTCACCTCAAACTCCATCGACCGGCAGTGCACACCAGCCAAACCAATCTCGCGGGACCTGCTTTCAATAAGCGCCACTACAGACCTGTCAGGAATGTCCCAGTCGCCCTCGCCCGGATCACGTTGCCGGCTTGGCTTGCCAGGCGAGGCCTCGAACGGTGAGGCCAAGGCCCTTTTCCGCACAGCGCGGCTCATGCTTTGAGATCGAGGAGCAAGAGCGGCTTGAGTTGAAATGGCTACAATTGCCGGGTCTCACTCTGTTCTACATGGCATTCCCACTGCTACAAATGTGTCATCCGAGTGTCTTCATCAGCCTCGCCGAACAATGTGTTCGGATAGGCCTTGAAGGACCACCAAGACATGACAGCGCCAATGACCATCACAATGGGAAGTGCCAGCAGCAAGGCAGACCTAGGTTCGATCAAGTCATCAATGGGCACAATACTACAGCCGACTAACATGGCAGTAGAACCAGAACTGATTCTCTGCCTGCGCGTGCAGCCAAGAGTCTGGATGTTGTATCTACTCCTGAGCGAAGGGAATGTGGTAGGTGCATTCGCAAGCACGTGCACCAATCCGCGCAGTCCAAGGTGCCCTAGAGTACCATCAAAGAATGGATGGACAGAGACTTTCGTCTCATAGACTGTACCTTCGTTATTCTGGCTGGTAACTGTTGTAGTTGTTGAGCTTCGGCCTCCCAAGACCTGAGCTCATCTAAGTATGCTGCACACAAAACAACACACGGCTCACGTCTAAGACCGCAGCGCTGAAGAGCGTCAGTAGCCCGAATAGAGCCTCGAAGCCTGAGATGAGGCCGAAGACCAGCAAGCAGTACATCGACATATTCGCGCAGCCATCTGCCACCATGTAGTAGACGATGCAGGACAGTATGACGGTGAAGAACATGCCGAAACCATCACCAGCTACAATTTGCAACACGGCAATCGCCAGGAGCATGGTGAAGATCGTCCACCAGAAGTATGCATGAAACCTCATGTCAGTTGATCGAATGAAACATGATCACCCGGAGAATTCAGCGACTCATGCCCGTCATGCCAGGCTTGCAAAAAGTATTCCAGTCAACTCCGCGAAACAGGCGTTTCTTTTGCTGCCAATCACACTGCCAAACACAGCATTTGTGAGAATCTGAAGCAGCTTCTGAAACAACAAGGTGAGTCTCTTGAAAAATAACTCCCGAGTCTGAACACAACGACAAACTCCGCAGGAGACATGTGCTTGGACAACGGTGAGGCTTGTCTGCAGCTCGAGTGGCTCCTTAACCACTGCTGGCGGAGGAGCATCTTGAGGAGATGCGCCAATGGGAATAACCATGTGCTAGAAACCTTAACAGGCAAAAACTCAAGCTCTCAAAAAGCAAGTCATTCAAACCTCGGCAAACAGCAAAAGGCTCTGCCGAGGGGCAGAATGAGATTCGGCTGAAAGTACGATATCGAACTAACTCTCCTCGGCATCCTTGATGCCGTACTTGAGCCAAGGCATTCAATCAGTGCCTCTTCAGCTTTCAGGGGCCGCAGCAAGGCTCAAGACGGAAGGACTGTCTTGATTCAGCTGGCCAAGCATCAAAATCGCAACGCATAACGAGCCAACCCGAGTCCACAGTGCAAGCAAATGTCACCTTTCCACCGAGCCGGCACTATCTCAGCACCCGCATCCAAGCAAGCCTGCCGCTGGACACAAGAGTTTGGCGGCCCAGGAAGCATGCAGAAAGGGAACAACCTGGCGGCACGCCTTGCAGGAATCTGCGGGCTCGCCTGCAGCCATCATGAAGCTCACAGCCGTGCGATAGATCTTCCTGCCTTGTGCAAAGGCCGATACAAGTGGCTGCCAGCACAACTCCTGCGGCAGCAAGGCACATGAGTGGCACATGAGTGGCACATGAATGGTGCAAAGCTGTGACAACCAAAATGGGACGAATTTCACAGGTTCAGGTCCTGATGCACTTCGAACAGCCCACGTCTCGAAAGCCTGAGCTGGCGCGGCCGTGCTTCCTCGCGGCACTGGCCTTCTCAATGCTCTTTGCATTGAGAGGCGGACCGGCAACTGCAACTGCCCTGAGCGCAAAGTGGGTGATTCTCAGGCCGCTCCAATACAACCCGGCCTTGGAGATTGGCAAACTCCTTGGTGGAAGGTGGCGTTGGCCTGGGAGAAGAGGCTGCTTCATTCATAAGATAGGCAGGGAAGGTATTGTATTGATATGAGCGTATGTCTGAGAATCACGCACATCTCCAGATGCATCTGTAGTCACAACAGTGCTGGCCATATTGACTGTGCCAGTTGTGCCTGCACAAAGAATGCCTGTGGCAGTTGTTCATTGCTTGTGGATCACTCGAGAAAAACATGGCTGGCTCACTATTATCCGGCTTGGCTGACGGAGATGCTGACGTAATGGCAACATGGCCAGCTCCTTCACCCAAATGCTCAGCAAACGGATGCCAAATACCAGCGACTGTGCACACCCCTGCATCCTGCGCTGCCACGCAGATTTGGGGGTCTGGTGGTCCTTCCAGGAGCGATATTGCGGGGAAGAGAATTTAGATAAACACAAAATGCAATCTCAGCCCCTGACAAGGAAGACTTCTTGCAGCTGGAACTCATCAGCCCGAGGCGTTTCCGGTCAAGGTCGAAAAGCAGCTCCTAAAGATCCAGGAGCGAAGCCCAAGTTCGTAAAGCCGAACGGCAGGTCACCTGGTTCACCATCCAGGAAGCCCCCAGGACCACTTGCGATCCATCAGGAAGAGCCTTAGGCGTGTGCGTCCTCCACATGCTCCATCCATCTGTTCTTGGGCCACACACCTCTGTCGCCCTGAAGGTGTAGCAAAGCCTCCAACGGCAAAAAATCCTCGACATCCTCTCGCAGGCCAGCCACGCCTGTGATGATCCTCAAGAAGGTAGCGACTGGGAGGCCACTGCACCTGCAAAACAAAGCAAATTGAACCCTCATGCAAGGCCATGGGCCATGCCTCTGTACCTTCAAGGACCCATGACAACACCGGGAAGTCGCTTCTGCCTGATCTCCGAACTTGGAAATGACTGCATCTCTCTGCGACTTGAAGTGGCCGAAACTGGGTCGATGGCTGATCTTGCCAGCTCCTGGAGGAGGTCGGAAGCTAAGCAGCTAATCGGAGCATTTCTTGGGAACGCATCTCGCCTGGGCGCCAGCAGCTCCTGCTCACCTGCAACCGCTCACTTGCCGAACTTGCCAAAACGCCCGGGGAACGACGCCCAAGTGAGTGCTTGCGGGATGTGATTCTCACAAGGCTGCCAAAACCTCACCTCATCGCCAGCTGCGGGAGGTGGCTGACCACAGCGCAACCTCCGACAGTGAGCCTGTCAAGGCAATTTGCACATCCCTTCGCAGAACAATTTGGCCAGCATCGCCGATCGCACCTCAATGGCCTTGCGCAGTGCCCTATCTGCCTGTCGAGCTGCAGATCGCAACAAAAAGCCCTTTGTTTGTGTCGGGCCTGTGCAGGCAGGTATGTCAATGTCGATGCAGAATCTAGCTGGGCTTTGCCGAGCCTGAAGACGCACGGTGGTTGAGGCCAAGTCAAGTGTCAAGACTTGCCATGAAGAACAACTAACGTGCCTGACTCGCAAAGATTCGCCATTGACCAAGATATGATCGACCTGTCGTGCGGCTAAACAACAAGAGCTGCAGTCTGAAGATCCTGCAACGAATGCATCAACACATGCGAAACATCCTCCTTTGTCATGTGGCCCTCAGCGTGGCCTTGATGCTATACTTCCCGGTGTGGCTGATTTGCAACGGCACCTTGAGTCAATCAAATTGCGTTCAAATCCACGATGCAAGGATCGTGGAATGGGGCTCAGGGCGTCGCCGATGTTTGGCTTGCCTGAAACTCCCCGAAACTTAGCAGCCCGCCTCATGAGTGGAAGGCTGTCACTCATCTGCATACCAGGCAACGTGAATGAACTACATCTTCGAACTGCAAACGATCTGAAACATCATGGGAAAGAGGCCCCTGAACACAGTGTCGTGAACTATCTCTGCTGTCTACCCGCCCGCCTGCACTGCTCAGGCAAAGGCTGAATGCCTCACAGAGCTAGCGTCACGTGCTCCCGCAATGCAAGACTGACTAAGGGGTGTGTCTAGCATGGCAAAGGGGTGATCTGCCTGGTGCTGAACCTTCTTTCTCGCCTGCACGCGAATGGGCATGTGAGACTGTGAGGCAGCTGATCGAGCTGATATTGACCCGTCTCACATGTGCGACCGGTCCTTCTTGAATATGTGCCACACAATTGTTGGCTTGGCATCTGAACCTTGGAGAGCACGACAAAAAAACATATTTAGTCAGGCAATGACTCTCTTAGTGCCAAGGCGCAAGCCCGGGGCCAGCCCAAGGATTCCATTCTGGCGCTGGGAAGCGAAAAGGCCTGTCTCCTACAGCGCAGCTCATGCCTGGTTGCATGCCGGGAATTCTGACACCATCTTCCGCACCTTGACAGCGCACCCTATGGCTGCCTTGACAACGTCGCTGCCTGCGAGCCATCATAAGCGCAATCAGCATACCCCGTCTGAGGCTGTTGTCCGGAGACAGGCAAGCCGATCCCGAGCCAAACCATTGATTGACCAACAGTGCCGCAGTTGTGTCAATTCTTCCTTGGGGGATGGCTTTCTTTTCTGCCTGCTTTTGACAGGCAAGTGCTTGTCAATGCTCCGCAGAAACCGATGGGATGCCCCACTTCTTTGCGCCTCACACGGTTGCAGCCTGGCCTGGTCTGGAAGTGGAGAAGCGAATCTCATCCCAAAACCATAGCCTCAGCGCAAAGCATTTCGCGCCGGCAACACACAGCGAGCTCAGCACCAAACCCTTCCAAGGCAGAACCCTCCAGGTACTTTTCGCGGAAGCCGCATTTGTCCTTGCCAATGGAAGCCAGGGGTGCAAGCCTCAGAATTTCGCCTGCGCAGGCAATTGGTCCTTGTGACACGCGCCAGGGCAGCCAGGCCCACAGGCCAACCACTTAGCAGAATCACTCCTGCGTCGAGCCATTTAAGCCAGCTTGCCCTGCTCTCAATTGATACGGCATTGGATCATGCTCTCGCAGCCAGCAACAGCTAGCGAGGTAAAGCTTTGACAGATTGCAAGCCAAAAAGCAAATCAAGCGAAAAACGCCCCAGCGCCCACCCCAATAGCTCTCCTGTGGATGTCGAAGTGCTGTTCCGTGTGCGTGCCGCAGACCTTGCAGCCGCTGCAGGCGACCTCTGTGATCCAACTGGCCGTGTCCACCTTGGCCCCACGCCAACGCCATGCGGCTGTCCGGCTCTCGACTTGTCAAGCTTGCAATCCACAACTTGACAACACTTGCTGCGAGAGCCCAACAATCAGCGAAGCCCTTTGCGGCCTGTTCTGCAATCAGTCATGCTCATGGCTCTCTCGTGCCCAGCGCCTTGGCGATCCCAGCATTACCTACAATCTCAACACGCATTTGATCCGATTCCTGCTAGTCATCGCTAAGCATTGTCGCAAATGCTCACGTCCATGAGACCAGCCTCCGTGTAGTAAACTCCCTCTTGCAGGCTGCCTTTGAGCCTTCGAAAGGGTCAAGTGCAAGTAAGTGTCCAATGAACAATCATAACAACCTACCCAATAGCATCCTCAGGGTGCTACGCGATACCTTCCACGCTCATTCTTCTCCATGGCGCGCACAAGCCCAAGTTAGCGCAAGTCTGCCATCAACGGCCTTTTTGGTCGGCACGGTGCCAGCACTAACACAATGCCTCTACAAGTTCCTTGATCAGCAAAGTACTTGCCTGCAAACGGAGTGCTGCGGGACTGGAATGTGTGTGTGTGTGTTCTGATTCTTGAATCTGCATGGTCAAAGTGCCATATTTGGGCCTCAAACTCGCCCAATCGCGACTTTCCGCCGTCGTTTCCGAGGCTCATGTTCCCCGCAGGGGCGCGTCGTGTTCAAAAAGCACTCACATTCATGCAGCTTGGCTTGCTGAATCCCTTTTTACAGGAGGTATAGACCCTTCAGCAACATTCTTTGCAAATTTTGGTCGTGCAATTTAGAACTACCTATAGTCCTTGTCCAATTAATGTATGTGCGCGCTCACCCTTCGGAGAGTGATCTTGAGCAACCATGATTTGAGCGGTGGGGATTGCAAATACCTGAAGTTCGACAACACGTGTCAATTCTTGGGAGCCTACAAACGCTTGATATTGGTGCTGCAGCAGCAGCTTACATCGGGCAAGCATGGTGCAAGTCTTGGGCTGCAGCAGCAAGTGCGAATGCTGAAATTTTCCGCTGTGCAACTGCAAAGCCGATGCATATGCAAAGCAGTGTGAAACCATGCATGTTATCAAGCTTGCTGCAAGCTATGAGAATGAGCATCAACGACTTAGCTGGAATATGTGAGGACATGGAATAAATGAAATGACAATGACAAAATATGCACTCTTGCAGATCTTTGGCTTGCGTGACTGAGTGACACTCCAAACGGTTGAACTCCTCTCCTATGAACTCGAGGCCTACAACAACAATAGTTAAGATGTTCAAGAAAAAGCTCAGATCTTCGACGCTTCTCGCGATCCTTTTGCCGAAATCCTCCCGGTGCACACGGAGTGAGCATGGAGGCGTCTGAGACTTGTGGGTTGCCACAAGGAAAGGCCTCTGGCACAGCTGAGTACGAAAAACAGAGCGCGTCCTGGATGTGCTGCGGGACAGGCTCCCGCTGGATTGGCGCCTTGCTGCACAGTGCCACCAAATGGACAGTAATACCATGCTTGTGTAGCCTCCCTCAGAGTCAAAGAGCCAATGAGTGCTGTCACACAAGCTATGTAAGACCACAACCCGCCAGATATCTTGGACCTTGGCTGATCATAGCGCATGTCAAGCCATAGCTCTTCTCTCCAAAGAGCTGCAATGGCTTCTTCAGCTTGGCAGCTCGTCGCGAACGTCATCGGGGTTTTGCTGGACTGACTGGCTCCTCGAAGACCAAACGAGATCCAGAAAGCTGGCAAAACAAAATCTGACATATTGACTTGCTTGGACAAATACACTGACATTGCACAAAACCGGACACATTCTCAGCCAGCAATATAACATCTACTCAGGAGATCGCAGGAGATCGTTAGGCATGTGATTACAGCACTAGGAGCATCAATACTCACACCACGGCGTCCTCTGTCGTTTGTTTTCCCGCTTCTTCTTCTGCAATTCCCGCGCGTGCGTGCGCATGAACCTCAAAGCATGTTGATGTACGCAAAACTGCTGCAATTGCAAACATAAGGATTGTGATGGGAGATGCTTGGTGGGCGGTCTACCCGGCCACTCCATATTACGAGTTGCCACCTGGAAAGAATAGCATCAAGAAATGACTAAGGCTGCTACAAGTCTATCTGCTGAAGCTTTATCTCTGAGATGTAGTTGTTGTGGATGTGAAACTGGCAAGAGGGCACATATTATGCACATGTCCAGGTTTCTGAAAATGCCTCAACATGCGTGTGCGTCACAAAGTTGCCGGTCAGCCTCTGTCATCGACAGGTGCTCTGCTTTCTGCAGCAACTTGAGGAAAACCTCGTCTCACAACATGGATGCACTCCGAATCCCCACAGAACGTGCATCGCGAATCTACTTTAAATCTCTGCTCAGCATTCTAAGAGCCCTTTCGCATTAGTCAAGTTTGGCATTGAGCACCTAGTGGAACCGATGCAGGCATCCTCTCTCGCCCGCTGCCTCTGCAGCTTCATCCGTGAAGTAGTTGTCCTGCCGCATCAAGGCTTTTCCTTTGATTGCTGCATGTTGCACTCTCTCTCTCTCTCTCTCTCTCCCCCTCCCCTCTCCTACTCTCTCTTCTGTCGGTTCCTGTTTCCTTTCTTGCCCTTTTCTATCTGCTCATCTACGTATTTAGCTACTTAGAATTGTTACGTGACTCATTGGCTGTCTGTTCATGTGTTTATGGATTTTCCATGTTGCATTTGTCGTTCGTCATCCATGTCTGATGTTCGCTCTTATTGTTAGCTATTGTCTTGTATCTGCATGTGTTTACCTGTATGTTTATCATGTTTGTGGTTGTCGTGATCGTTTTGTTTCCTTCCCTCCCTCCCTCTCTCCCTCCCTCCCTCCCTCCCTGCCTCCCTCACTCCCTCCCTCCTTGATTTCTCCCTCCTTCCTTCCTTCTTCATTCCTTCCTTCCTTGCTTTCCCTTCCTTCCTTCCTTCCTTCCTTTGTTTTAAGTTGGTCTAGATTTTTGCTCTGTTTCTCTTTCTCTCTCTCTCTCTCTCTCTGCGTCTTCTCCTCGAAGCTCAGCTTGGTGATAAACTTGTTCTGCAGAATGACCTCTGCCACTTGGTGCACTCAAGATTCTTCACTTGGCTCGCAGACAAGAGCTCGACCTGGGAAATCGCCCGAGCCTCTGCCACAAATTCCATAGCATCGTCCCGGATGCTGTTACCTGGAATCCAAACGGTATCTGGCTCCTCCTCCGCTCAACAGTCTTGGCGAGGTATAATACAAGGCCAGACTCACGACCAAGATCCAGCTCTTGCAAGTGGGTGTTCAGCAGTAACGCCTTGCGTCCACTCTGGTGCAAAAGAAAGTGCCTGGCTTCAGCAAGCCTCGAAAATGTGCTTCACTGCATCGTCACGGACACGATTCACCTGAAAGCAAGCATTGCCTCTCGGTCTATGTTGGCACACACACACACAGCAAAGAAAAGTGGCAATGGGTGCCCTGCGCCGATATCGAGATAGCGAAGCCGGCAGTTCTTTCTCAAGGCCTGGCCAACGAACAACGAAGACCATCCCGTAAAGCTTCGTGAGACTCTCACGCACCTGGCCTTGGCCAGTGCCTTGCCTCCCGCACTAGTGACTCCGTTGGCGCGAACACCTGTGCTTTTGCAAAGCGCCTGCTCCTGGGCCCCTCGCAGCCATGGGGGTGCGGCTGAGCTTGTTGACCTTGTTGTAGCCACAAAGGGCCTGAACCAAGTCGATGAACTGCGAAGTCCAGAACACAGAGTGGGCTAAAGCAAGCCTTACCTGAAGGAATAGTCTAAGAGGACTTCCAATTCCCCTCCCAACAACTACTCTCAGAGAAAACAGGGTGGGCAACCTTGACATATACGATTGCATTTGCCGACCCCCCGCATCCTAGCTTTCCTCGAACCCCCAGCAACATGGGCGTTGCAAGGCCCAAAACCCAGGGCATGGGTTGGCGGCGTGTCAGAGACCCTTCGACCCATCGAATGGCAGGATATGTTCACTCAAGAGCCTGTTTAGAGTCTTGATCGGAAGACATCCGTCCATTATTTGCCGTGAAGATGAAACAATCCATAAATGAGGGCGGAAGAAGACTGTCGTTACCTACACAGCAAGCTGACAGCAACTCCAAATGTGCATATCAACCTTTTCTCGCTTAAGCACCTGCTTGGGTGAGCCGCGAGCGGAATCCGTGGTCCGAGGGACGCTTCAAGTAAGTGTGACGCAAATGGCCCACAGACACAAACATCCTTCCCGTTCTTACGCCAATGACCCAGTTGGTCGAAGGCAAGTCAGCGCCATACGAGGCATCAGGCACCTCATTGAAGCATCACTTCTCACCCATCTTGCACTTGGAAGGCGTTGAGTTACACCTCACCGCATTGACAACTCCAACCATCCGAAGCAGGTCTGCCACTTCCAGGTCGGAGTTGCTAGCCTGTCAATCTGGACGGCACGCAATGTCTTCGGCGCGCAGCTCAAAACGGAGTGCACTTGCTTGTGTGATTACACATGTTGTGCGCTTTGTCTAAGCGAAATGACATGTTTGGACTGCCTGCAAAACGCAAACTTGTGAGAGGTCTTGGAAACACTGCTAGGTGTTGCAAGGCAGCCATTTTTGTCAGACTCTGACTGCAAAATTGCAAAGGTATCCTGTGTATAAATATATACAAATATGTACACCTGCTTGCCTAGCCAGGGCAACACACACTTTATCTAAATAGCACGTCGACGCCAAACACTTGAGGCTTGAAGATCTCCACCCAGAGCAACAGCAGCAGCAGCAGCAGCAGCAGCAGCAGCAGCAGCAGCAGCAGCAACAGCAGCAGCAGCAGCAGCAGCAGCAGGTCTGCGTTATGAGATACCGGGACCCAAGCAAACCATGAAGATGAAGCGAACGTTCCCATCCTCACACACCCACCTCACGATCGCCCCCAAACCCTGAACAAGCAAGGGCAAAGAACCTGCAAAGCACAGACCGTAGAGGTGCCGGCACCTACTACCCGTTTGTTGCGTGCTCTGTGTATGTGTGTAAGCGGCTAAGTCTTTGTTATACAAGAGCAGAAGGCTATGAGGTCTTTCATTTTCTGGGGGTCCTGGAACGTTCGAGAAGTTCCAAAAGGATATGGTTCTGAGTGTTCGAAGCGGCACTGTGCTAGATTTCCAGAAGGATTCCGAGCTTGCTGTGGAGCATACGGTACGACCTGGGCTTATTGTCTCCCCATTCTCTCCTGGAGGATGAAGCCTCTTCCGACATAAAAAGGGGCTGAGGCGCCCGCTGTCGCAATCGCAACGACGCCTTGGTCTCCGATTTCATTCAGGCCTCAGCAAGTAGATGCTGCCATGAATCACAAATCATAAGAAGGCTGACAAAGCAGCCATCGCATGAGTGTGATCAAACAGCATGCCTGCATATGCATGTGAAATGAAATTCCAATAAACTACACAAATTACGGATTGTCAGACAACTACAGTGCAAAGTCTTCTCTCCTAGCTGTCCTTGGAAGAAAGCACAAGTTGCACCTTCTGACATCTTGGGCTTGCACAAACAACACGATGCGTATCATTTTTCTGAGCCCGGCCAACAGCACAAGGAAGAAAGATCCTGTAAGGAATCAAAGCCAACTGAGACTCGCACCCATATCCAGGTGCCTCAGTGAGGAGCACTTGGCAACGGCATTCCCAATCGCAATGCCCCCGTCCTGAAACGATTCGGATGCGCAAACAACCCAAAACATTCCACGCGAGCGCTGTCCTTGAAGATGTGGTTGTCGAAGAGTCTAAGCTCTTTCAAAGTACTGGATGTAGATACATACCTTGAAGTCCCCATACAAACCCCATCTCAAAGCTCTGCGGCCTAGAACGTTTGCCTCGCCCTGTGCCACTTTGCAATGTCTTTGCTCATGAGACTGGGCATCAAGCTCTGCAAGTGCTTCTGCTCCGCAATCCTCATTCGGGGCTTGCAGGACGCAATGGCACTGGCCTGCTCTCGCTCGCTTCTCGGACCTGTGACCTTCGAACTGCTGAGGCAGCAGCTCCGATGCCATTGGCGTCGAGCTGCAGACTCTCCAGGACACCCTGACATCCCGAAGGTGCCACTGAAAGTGATGGCATCTCAAGCTTGGTGTGTTTCTCTGTGAGCAATGCGTATAGCTTGAGATTTTGCAAAGAACCAATCGAGTAAGCCTCGACGCGCAAAACCAAACCATGCTAAGTTGCGCTGCCACTGCACTGGGAAGAAATACAAGCCCTTGTCATCTGGGGACAAATGGCAGCCACATATTGAAGCAAACATGCAGGGCAAGTGCGACAACTTGCCTGTTCCGTCAGGGCTTGCGCAATGAGCTTGCAGCCCACATCGGAGAGGTTGTTGTGCTGGAGGTTCAGATCCAGAAGCACTGGAGAGCAATGCAAGGGCTGCATGTGCTTCGTCAAACGATCCGCCATTTGAACACTTCCTACAAGTAGCATGAAAAGCACACAGCCCTCTGCCTCGATTGGTCGCAAGGCCCTTGGCAAGGATGCCCGCTTCCTCCGGTCCAAAGCAGACGTGCCTGCGAGAGCCCACTTGAGCTGCCAATCATGGGCGACAGTCTCCATCGCCACCTAGCCTCACTTCCCTACTCTGACAAAGTTGTTGGCACGTGTGTGTGTGTGTGTGTGCAAGGTGTGCTTTGGATGCCTTGGCAATCATTCTACTTCCAAGCCTAAAGTCCAGCTTCGTGACGTGACCTTAGGGCCGACAAGCTTGATGTCCCGTTTCTTTGCGCTCCGCGCCAAAGCAACAATCTAAAACAAGGCTGGAAAAACATATGGACCCATAGCGCTAGTGATGCCCTGGCCCTGCTGCATTGTTCCGTTGTGTTTGTGCTGCTCCCTTCATAGCAACCAGGCCAACAACACAACATGCGCTCCGAAGGATCACGGCTGAGAAAGGCCGGCCCTGGGAAAGTTCCAAGGCCTCGGCGATTGCTGGAGATATCATTGGACAGGGCCAGCAGGCCAGACCGAGAGATGTTGGCCAAAGCAGCCTCGCAAGAGTTGAGAAATTGTGTCAGGCCATTGACAATGCAAGCTGTCAGCCATGCCTCCTCCACATCTTCGTTGATGCGCACATTGAGCCTGACGACCTGCCAAACCCATTTGATCAAACTGGGGTAGCTGATATCCGCGCCTTGGGTGAAAAGCCGCGCACCAACTGCGGTTTGTCCTCACAAATGTGGGTTTTGCCTCTTATATACGAGAGTCTGGGGCCGCTTTGCTTGTTTGCCCCGTATTCTTGTTCCAGTCTGCACTGCCTGAAGACCTGCAAGATCAGCCAAGCTTTGCTGAGCTTCATTTGGCTGGGAAAGATTTGTCATGCGCACTCTTCAAGCTCTGCTGCGCAGGTCCTTCTTCGGGAAAAGCACAATTGGCATTTGCAGCTTTGCACATCGGCGGCCAATCCTACATACGCTCCTTTCAGCTAAACTGACTGGCCACTCTCTGCGCCAGATTCCCAGATTCGTGTCATCTGCAGGCCGCATCAAATTGAAGCTTTCTATACATGAAAGGCAGGGATCTTTCTGTCTGCACATTGAGTCATATGACAAATGTTTCGATGCGTGGCTAGGAAGCAAACAGTTTCGAGGCGGATAGCATTCGAGGGGGATTCCGATGCCGAGCTGTTGAATAGCACCATTCAACATTGCACACCCAAATGGATGGCAATCCGTGCCTAAGTTTAGCGTCTCTCCACGGCAGCTTGATATGAGCCAAATTACATACAATGCATGGCTATGAGCCACTGCACTGGCAAGCAAACAAACGAAAAACCAACAAATCAAGCAAACAAACACATCAAACAACCAACCAACCAACCAACCAAACAAACAAACAAACAAACAAGTAGCATCAAATGAACAAGCAAACAAACAAAGGGATAAGCAGCAAAGCAAGCAAACCGACAAAAGAGATAAAGGCAGAGCCGAGCAAACGAGCAAACGAGCAAAAGCAGAGACAAACATGCAAACCAAAACCAAACAATAAATAAGCAACAAAGCAAGCAGGCATGCTTGCAGGCATGCAAAGCAGGCAAGAAGCAAACAAGAAAAAGCCATGCAAGCAAACAAAGACACAAGGAAGCAACCGAATTAGCACACTACCAAACAAACACACCCAATGATGCAGGCAATCGCCAAAGGACAATTTGAACACACATATGCAAGAAACACCGTTTTTTGCGCTGTATCTGCAGCGTGAAGCTGAAATGCCTTTGGTGGGTGCAAGTTGACTAAGAAGTCCAGGAACGAAGTGTCTTGGAGGGCAGGTAACTGATTGCTCTCCTCAACATCACAGTTTGTCCAAGGCGCGGCCAACCTGAAACAATCTTCCAAAGTCTGTTTGACACTTCGAAAAAGCCTGCAGCCACAAGCTGCACAACCATAGATGGATCAAATTGGCATCGGATTGAGGGCGCGAATGCAGCTGCCAGCTCGCGCTTTGCACAAGCAGGCTGCCCACAAAAAGAAACACTACGCACCACACCATATCTTGCTGGTCATGTTCCTTGCTGCTCACGGACTTGACCTCGGAGCAGAAACGCCGCATGTGGCGTGCGCGTGCGCGTGCGCGTGGGAGTGCCCGTGCCGGTGCCCGTGCGCGTGCCTGTGCGCGTGCGCGTGCGCGTGCGCGACGCGGTGCGCGTGGTGCGCGTGTGCGTGCGCGTGGTGCGTCGCGCGCGTCGTGCGCGTGCCCGTGCGCGTGCGCGTGCACGTGCGCGTGCCTGCTTAGATGGGCTGTGCAATTGCTAGGAGTTATAATTTTTATAGTCAATTAGCAGCACTATATTAGCACTATGTTAAAGCCATGCTAAGGCCATACTAATTTGCCTAATTATTGCAAGCTATTCAGCCAATTATAATTATTAGCTAATTAACATAATTTTGATGGAATTTAGCTAAGAATTAGCAGGTCACTAGCTAATAATTAGCTAAAAATTAGCATCATGTTTTTCAGTGGTTTTTCAGCGCTATAGTGGCTCAAGAAGGCACCTTCGCACGAGCCCCAGCTATGGATGTTGCCAAGGAGCTGCAGCAAGTCCTGCCTTCCAAGTTCTCTGCGCAACAGTTGAAAGATGCACTTGCAGTGTTCTCACAGGACCACGCCTGCTTGTCATGCTGGATGCTTTGCTTAGAAGAATGGCTCAGCAGAAGTGACATGGCCAAATGCAAGGCCGTGTGTAAGGCTTGCAAATGTGATGAGTATGAAGGCAGCACGTGTGAAGTCTGGGCAGCTTTGCACATGTAAGTGCCAATTGCCATGCGTGGTGGCAATGCTCAAAAAGCATTGCCTGTCTAGCAGGTGAACTTGCCATTCGCACAGAGTCAGCTAACAGTTCAGCTCATGGCTTGCTGTCAGCTCAAGAGGCCGGGTGGTTCATTGGGTGTAGGCTGTGTCTGCAGGCTGGGCTGCATGTGCTGGCACAAGCAATGCAAAAGAGCAGGCAGGTAAGGTTGCAGTCAGCTCATGCAGCTCAAGTGTATGCACAGGTGCAATCTGTTCTGCAACATGCCTTGTGTTCAAGAAGGATGTACGTACCAAAAGCAACTGCACATGGACATGCACCATGCATGATCAGCAAAGAGCCATCATTCATGCAACAATAAAGAAGTAGAGGCTGCCAGCAGCCAGTTGCAACCAGCCATGCTTGCAAAGCATGTGGTTGAGGAGGTGCAGAGGATTCTTGACATGGAGGACAGCAGAATGGAGCTGAACACCAAAGTCAGTATGATCTCACAAACCTTGCTCAGCAACAGCCTGGCTTACAAGCAGGTGCTAGCTCCGAGTGCCCTTTTGACACACCCCATGAACAGAGGAGGCACAATGGTGAATGCCTATGATGTTCACAGCAAGGGACAGCAAATGGTATCTGTGGGCTTGAAGGAAGACCTCTTGGCTGCCAGCTCTGTTTGCTTTGAAATGGCAGTGGAGCCCAGCAAGAGGCAGAAGCAACTGGATGCCAATGTGGCCTTGCAGAAACACAGCTCTGGGATGTTGGCAGAATGCAAAGGGTCAGAGAGGTATTTGACTGTGGGCGCCAGTCACAGCACTGCCTTCTTCAGGGCAGTGCAGGGAAACTGCATGTCCCCAGGTGGAAAAAGCCTGAGCATGCAACAGGTGGTGGAGGGCAAGGGTGAAGGACACATTTTTGAAAAGCTTTGCAGAGAAGGCTGGCAGTGGCTGGTGATCAGCTATGAGGTGGAAGATGTCTTCCCAGCCTTGCCTGCTATGTACGAGAGAGCACTCAATTGCACCAATTCTGCCACAGTTGTGACAGGTGGGCTGGAGATTGCATGCCAGATTGCCCAGAACTACAGCTTGTGCAAAGATCTGAACAAGGCAGTGCAACAGGCTGCAGCAGGGCAGCCCAGGTGTGCAAGCTATCTGCCCACCATAGGACACTATGTCAGGCTATATGGTGGCGGGGACAAGTTTCCTTTGATCACATTTTTGAAGGAAGTCAGCAAGTCATATGGGCATTCCTTGCTGATTGGTGAAGAGTTCTTTTCCAGCATTACCTATGCAGAGTTCAAGATGAAGACCTCCATGGCTCCTTTCTTGAGGGCTGCAGTGCTTTGCACCCAACTTACCTCACCCAAGCATTGTGATGGGATCAGCAAGTTGCTGACAAAGAGTGATGTGGACAAGATGAAGAGTGTGCAGATGCTGGCCAAGGTGGAGGAAGCAGAAAATGTGCTCTGTGCAGGGTGGGCTGCTTGCCTGATGGAAAAGGCCAGCCAGGAGCACAGCACTGCAGCATTTGGCCGCTTGTGCGTCAGGACAGTCCTTCACTTGGCCAGCAAAGAGAAGCACGGCAGAGAGCCAGCTGGATGGCCCAGTGTTGCTGCCATCAGCAAGGCTTTTGCAGAGGAGATCAAGAAACCAAAGGCAAGCAGTGTGGCTGCACATGAAAAGTGAGCCTGCAAAGCCAAGAAGGATGCAGGCTTGCCAGAGAACTTGCTTGAAAGCAGCCCTGCCCACACTGCACTTGTGCTGAATAAGCACATCACAATTGGCAACTTGTACACTTGCAGCCAGCAAGGTGGTAAAGTGCTGAAGCTTGTGAAGGTTGACAATGAAGGTGCTCTCTTTGTTTACACACCCTTGCTAGGGGCAGCAGAGGAAGTGGTGGTCAAGCTGGACAACTTGAAGAGCATGAGGCCTAGCAAGCAGAAAGAACAGACAGCTTGCCCAAGCTCTGTTGCCAAGGGGCTGTTGCCACAAAACTCAGAAGCTTTGCAAGAGATGGAGGCAGTGAGCAAGGCTCAGCTAGCCCTGGTGCAAGCATTCATGAATGGGAAGCAGCCTTCAGAAGAGGACATCATGTTCAGCAACCACCCTCCAGGAGTTGTCAGCCAGAAGAAGTTCAAAGCCAAGCAGTTAGTGCTGATGTCCATTGGTGCAGTCAGCCTTTGCAAGGACCCTGCTGCAAGCAAACTCCCCAAGCTTGTGTGTGGCAAGGATGTCTTCACAGTGTCCCAGCCCAAGTTGTGGCCAGACTTTGCAAAGCCGGCACCAGAGCCCTTTCTGGTGGGTGAGGACAACATCAGAGGAGGACAAGGTCAATATGGTCAGAAAGCCAATCAGTATAGGCAAAATGGAGATACCTTGCCTGGTTAACTGCAAAGCTGTAGAGAAAGGGGACATGCTGCTGGAGGCCAACACCAAGCTCTGCCATGATATGAAGGATGTTGAACAGGAGCCTGTGAGGAAGAGGGCCAGAACAAAGCAATCAAGCTAAGCTGCTTGAGTGCAGGGTGACAGAGGAGCCAGCTGGTTGGCTGGCTGTGGCGTTGGTGAAAACCAAGGCACCAAGTTTTTTGTTTATCATGTGCCACACATGTTCAGCAAGCCCTTGAGGCTCGTGCTCAGTCAGCCACTGGGGCTCATGTTCAACCAGCCCTCGTGCTCAGTCAGCCTTTAAGGCTTATATTTTGCCAGCCTTTAAGGCTCATGTTCCTTCAGCCTCTAAGGCTCATGTTCCTTCAGCCTTGTAAGGCTCATGTTAAGCCAGCCATGGCTCATGTTGACTCAGCTTTTGAGCTCACGCCCAGTCAGCTTGCAAGGATCACTTTCATGCAACCCTTGGTGTTCATGTTCAACCAGCTTGAAAGCTCATGTCCAGCCTTTACGGCTCATGCCTTCCACACAGGCATGCACACCCGTTTGCCATGGCAGGCTCATGGTACTCTTACTTGGTTGGCATTGACAATCCAAACCTTATTTGGCATCTCCTACAAGGGGAAGCATTGCAAAGTGCCAGAAGACCTTCTTGTGAAGGAGGAGGAGACACAAGAGATGTTTCTGAAGATCAGGCCCACGCACGTTGGCTTGATCCATGTTATTTGTGCTGGCCAGGACATTTCTAAAGGAATGAGCTTGTCAGAAAGCAGTGGCCTCAAAAAGCTGAAGGGCTTGAGGGATGCTGCCATTGATGAGGTGCTCAGTTCCACCACTGAGCAGAAAGGACAGATGCACAGGAGCCAGATGACCTCTTTCAAGCTGAGGCAGAGGGTTCTGAAGTGGGCCCAAGGAAGAAGAAGGTGAAGATTGCACCAAGCCTGCTCCCAAACACAATCGTGATAAGCCTGGACAACTTCAAGGTCAAGGTGTTGGTCCCCAAGGCCAGGCACAGCCAAGCTGACTTGACTGTCCTTTTTCACCAAGACCACCTGTTGCCAGTTTTTGAACTGATTGCTGCAGACTGTGAAGAGTGTTCTCAAGCTTGCAAGAGGAGCTACAGAAGGACTGGCAAGTTTGCTAAAACTAGGTGACAAGCTGCTGCGGAGTGCCAAAACAACATGCAGAGTGCTGGCATGTTGTCAGCAAACAGCACTTGAAGTTTCAGCACAGTCAGCCTACATGGCTCATGTGTTCAGAGTTTCCGGCCACTGCCACGGTCAGCCCATGAAGGCTCAGGTTTCCACATGCTCAATTCTAGCAAAGGGCAACCTGTTTCTGGAACAGTTTTTCATTTATTGTGCTTTTGCAGGTGTGGGTGGCTCAGACACTGGAGGGAAAGCTTCTGGTAGGCCAACCCATGGGAGAAGCAGCTGCTCGGTCAAGGAGCAGAAGCAGGAGTTCAGAAGGAGCTCCTGCTCAAGAAGATGCTGTGCAAGGCAGGCAAAGGCAGCAGCTGTGGGAAGCTGAAGTGTTTTTGAGAATGAGGACAGCAGGCTTGACGTCTCAGGAGAAGGTGGAGATCAGGGCCGCCAACCGAAGAGACATGGACATCATCAACTTGTTTGGCACCAGGCCTGGCATGATGGCCACACAGATGAAGTTGGCAGAGCTCGTCTACCAAGATCCATATGCACCTGAGCCTCGCGGTGGAGACCTGGCGGAGCCAACAACACCTGTGTGGACACTGATGAAGGGGAACCTGCTGTCAACCAGATCAAGCCAGAGGCTGCAAACTGGATACAGAGCTCGTGGCTGCCACTGCCTGGACTCCAGCTACTTCATGCCCAAAGGATGCCCTCATGAGCTGGACAACTCAGATGGAGAAGTACCTTCTGGGAGGTGTC